TATACTAAGCTCAAGGCGCACACGTGCGTCTCATAATTTATGTGTAAGATAGGCTCGTGCGCCTTATTCTGAATTTCCTCTTATTAAGTAAAGGCGCACGATATGTCAATGTTATGCTTGCTTCCTATAAATTTGAAGGCGCACGCGTTCGTCCCTGAATCTATAAAAAAAGGGGTCGTGCGCCTTCAATTGAATGTCTCCAATTGAGGTGAGGCGCACGTGCGGGGTTTGCCATATGAAACTGAAGGCGCACGATATGCCACTGCTGCGCCTCTCACTTTGTATGTAAAAGTCGGACGTGCACCTCACTGCTAAATTTGGGGAATTGAGGGAGGCGCACAGGTTGGTTTGTCATATAAATTCGGAGGCGCACGTGTGAGCCTCGAGTTTATTATGATGATTCTTCTCGTGCGCCTTCTACGTATTTTCTTCCTTCCACAATTAAATCGAAGGGGTTGATAATGTTCATATACTTTTTCAACTTCATCTCAGTATAGGGAGCTATCGTGGTCCTTCTCGCCGTTTGATGCACCATTCCTGACAGTCATTGAAGGATGGTAACCGGTGTGTTGATTGCGGGCGCATTTGTGGTGGGTGCATCATCCGGGAAGCTCGTCGTGGGATAGCCCCTTTTTGAGGTGCTGGTAGAAATGGCTTGTAAGGCCGCGTACGCCTTAATCTAGGACATTCTGCTCGCGACATCCCAATACCTTAATAAGGTCGTTGATGAGCTAATTGGCAAGTTTATCAGGTCTAGTATTGGCGAATGGGAATCTATACGGATGGAGAGCACCATAGACCCGTGCAGAATTGACGGGCTGGTGACTCAAGGGAGACCCAAAAGATTGATGCACCTCATACGGATCGGCGGAGAAGAGCTGACGGGAGCGGATAGAGTATTGGTATAATCCTGTGCATGCTCGAGATTCCTCATATGCTACTAGCCGCATGCAGCAGCCGCTCGGGAAGTGCGTGAGGAGCCATTCCCCTTTTCCTCAACGATGCACGTATCAAACCAAACGACGACAAGGTTTCCACTTCACCTTTTGGATGAAATTATCGAAGGGTGCCAGTTACGTTCAAGAAGCGTTCTGTCTAGGGATTTGCACATTTCTACGATGCATGGGACATTCATCCGGAGCGTCCTCATACGAAGAGGTGAATTTAGAATACCAAGTTGAGGCATTTATTCGTGCGCCGCTGGATTTGTATGGGAAACAGCTTCGTGCGCCTTCGCCAACATATAAAGGCGCACAAGCTAGAAACCCATACTAGTCCCGAGGCGCACGCGTGAGCCTTCTATTTTGTATGGCAAAGACTCCCGTGCGCCTTTTGATAAATCTCCCCGGCGCACCGGCCGAGATCCTCATACCGATATACCATTAGGGCAATTGAGCTAACCCCGGCTTCTGGCATCTTGCTCGAGAGTCGGGCTGTCTTTTGGCTTTTCTTTCCTTCTTTTATTCCTATAAGCACTTACATGCTACATTCGCTGATCTGTTGCCAAGTACACCGACGACAAGCTACACAGATCTCGACCAATGTCAATGAAGCTCAGCCCATACGTTGCGCAACTTTACCATTGCATGCTCTATTTAAACATGTAGAACATTTCCATATGGCCGCAAGATGCACGCGATTAATCATGCGCATTGATGGTGCGCCTCTCATTTTGTATGGGAAAACGTGTCGTGCGCCTTCTTCTATTATACGGATTTTCAAAAGGCGCACGGAGTCAAAATAGGGGCTCACACGTGCGCCTTCGATTTAGTATGGTGGAACTGCCCGTGCGCCTTAGCAAGAATCGAAAAGGCGCACAACCCCCTTTTTACATATTAAATAAGAGGCGCACGCGTGAGCCTCGAGATTAGTAGGTGTTTCTCGCTCGTGCGCCTTTTACTCTTTTCTTACTTCAACGACGCCGTTCAGAGATGAAACTATGTCTGCAGCTTGTTCAAGGTTAGTTACGAGATAGGAGTACTGGATGCGATCATAAACGGGAGGCATACGCATGTATTCAGGGCTCAAACGGAGTTCTCGTTTCGACTGTCATTTTCGTATGTTAGATCAAAAGTGCATCGATGCACCCACTGTCTCAATTCTCCAGCTCGGCGACGACATGCTAAGATGTGTGGGGTCGCATTTTGTATGCCATAACGACTTTTGGATGGATGTGCATTGAGTTTGAGTCACTATCTTGTGGTGCAAGCCATACGACGCTCGATCCGAGGTCTGCAGACCATGGATCATGACAGAATCGGTGCATTTGAGCTGTTGCTTATCCGACGACTAGTTCTACATGCTAGGCTCGGTGCATTAGCATGCATAGGATTTATATCCAGGATCGAGCTCATTTCTTGGGCACTAGAATACGGCCATCTCGAAAGCTGCATGGTTGAAAAAAGATCGATCAGTTCACCACGGACAGTGCACGACGAAAAGTAACCCTCCGCTATCGACATCTTCGCATGATGCACGAAGTGTCCCTAGGCGAAACAGTCAATAGAGGTAGGTAGGTATGTATTGAGATGAACATTGGTGGGTCATCACACTACTCGATTTCCAACCGTTAATTCCATCCACGAGCTTTAATTTTATCCCTCAGCCTACGAGCGATCTCGATATACTCAACAGTGACATCATATAATGGGTCAACTAAGTACTTGCTAAGCATGGCCGTGTACCTCTGTGTCTTTTCTCTCGCATCGGCATAGCATCTGATTGGCTACGCTCTCGACTGGTGAGTGCAAGATTCCGCCGAGACGAATTGAGTATCTAGATAGCGTGGCTCGAGTTACTCTAATCGTGCTCGGCTCGTTTTAAATAGGTCTACGGTCTGTTCGACATCGCGTACAGCGTCAATCAGGTCCGATCCATCGGAGGACTAGTACCTTGACGCCTCGAGACCAGAGATGGCCCTGAGGTCTGTTGGCGGCTAACCCTGGGGAAGAAATGACGAAGGCTTTTCCTGTATGTATACCTACCGTTAGGCGACAGTGCCCAGTTTTCTAGAGCTCCTCACGCGACTTGACTTTTTCTCATTTGTTAGTTTCTCGTTGTGATAGCATCTGAAGGTCTTGTACTCGTTCCCGGTTCTCGAGGGAGATATGGCGCCTCCATCATTTGTGCGGGCTTTGCCTCGAGTTCGGGACAAGCGGAATGGATGTCAAGAACGCTTACGAAAAACTAGACCGGCTGAAACCTGTATTGGACGGCGAGGCATGTCTACACCATCTGTTCTATCTAGGTACTAATGCTGCTAGCTATAATAGATATGATTATAAACTTGATTATAAACTTTTAATCCGTTTAACCAGTTGCTCGCTCATGGCTCGGAAAATAATAAAACTAGCCGGATGCGTAGTCGCGTTCCGAAGTTGTTTTCGTCCCTAATAAACAGGTCCTGCAGTGCGAGATCGCTCACCGTGCCGTTCTTGTAAATTTGACCTGCATTGAAGTGATGGGCGACGATTATCATTGGACAACTCTGCGTGGTTATGGTAACCCTCACATTTTCTACAGCCTGGCTCAGAGCAATATTACGAACAGGAGCCCTTGCCTATCTCTAATGTCTATTTCGAAGACATAGAACGCTAGGCAGGACTGGAACCAATTATGCTAGCAACCTAGATAACATGGTAGCTTCAAGTAGTCTCATCATCGAGTTCGAGAACCCCTTGTCTCTACCAGCCTCGCCGAATAGTCGCTAGAGTTCACAACAACTTGAATCGATTGCGACCCGCATCTAAAGCCTCGATTTTGATCCCGGTGCATCTAACTGATGATTCTATGGATAGTCTACTACGAAACTACACATCAATTATGAGGTCGGTTGAGGTATCCCAAGCGTTGAGACGGGGTTTGCTATGAGTCGATTGAGGATGATGGTGCGGGATTGATTGCTGGACTCGAATTATTTTAGCTTCCAGAAGAAGGGTCGCTTTTCTGTCTCGTGAATGGTATATTCTTCTATGAGCGTGAGGAGTCCGAAGATCCGATGCTTGACGTCTTGGATGATCTTCTCCAACTCACAGTGCCCAATGACGTCGCAGCATCGGTCAAGGTTCTGGTAACAAGCCCGCGGCCGACATCAACGGCTAGAATGATTTTTGAGGATATGGATGATAACCTCGGCGGTGCTGGGGCAACGTCCTCAATATTATCTATGGACTTACTAACTCTGTCGCAAGTGGATGTTAGCGAAGAGAGGTTTGCTAGAAATTTAGGAGTAATTGGGGACGAGGAAATCAGAATAGGGTCAGGAGAATGAGGTCTAGTGTATCAACGGGCGCGGTTGATATAGTACAAGTACGAAATGTTTTGCTCCTATCTTTCTTCTAAATCTACTCTTCTTTCTATCTAGTATCGGCGACTCTTGATATGACTCTACGCTCTTAAACGGAAACCCTACCTAGATATTGTAATACCTACCTAGACAATATTTGCCAGGTGGCTTATAAAGGGGGTTTCAAGACTGAACCGACCCATTCCCCTTTCAGCAGCCAACTATTTCCCAATTTCGGTTACTCCAGTCTCTTAAGTCGGAGAGCACCTCTAAGGGCGCGTCGCCAAGCAAATAAACGGAGATCACTCGCTATTATCCTCTAGTTCTCTTGCGAGCACAGACCCGATATTAAGACCCGGCACGAAGGCATCTTCCTACATAGCCCACAAGCTTAGGTGCAACTGATAGGATTCTTATATCTAAAGCTCTTGCGTCGGGAAATATACTACTATTACCATATAATACAGGTGAGAGCGAGTTTCTCCATGTTTATACGGCTGTTTCAGGGGTACTTCATTAATCCCATAGCCACTTTGCAACTAGATATAGGGGGAGCCATGAAGCTTCTCTACACGTACGCCAGCTCATCTTACGATATCACTCTTATTTTACCTTCATATCAAAGCCAAGAAGGCCAGCTCCATTATAGTAGAATTGAAGTAATTTTCGAAGTCACAAAAGCAAGTACATGTGCAGAGACATCGTAACGAATAACGTCATGGATTTGATTAGGAATTGGTGAAGAATGGCCTTTCGATAGGCCAAGTGTCTCGTCATAACATCGCTTATACCTAGGTAAAATAGCACCATTATCAAGGTCCAAGGGCACTACCGTCGTGGGCTCGCCAAACTGATCCATTCTTGAATCCTTCGTGTTGCCAGGTGAGGCAACCCCTTATATTTCTTTTCCTGGTACGTCTCGTCGATAGATCGCATAATTCTCTTCGCCCTAGTCACCATGAGACTTCTCGCATTCGCCCAGTGCTCCTTTGCTATTAGTTGGTCCGCCTCATTTACCAATTCCTGTCTTCTCTTTCGCAAGGCGGGATCGTCGGCTTTCTCTACGACGCAGAGCGCACAGCTACACCCAAACCCCCAGGTAGTCTCAAGGGCTCTTTGCCTTGCTTCGTAGTCGCTCGACTCGTCGTAGCGATGGAAGATTTCTTCGCCGGATTTGATGGGCCGAGAAGCGCGGAGGATCATCATGTCACCGACGTATTCTTTCTCTATGTTAGCGACGCAGGAATGATTGATGTACGCGGCCCGCACCCAGAGACCGGTACTTGCATTGCTTGCGTCTTCTTCTCCGAATTGGCTGCCTGGACTGAAGGCGTTTCGGGATACGATGTCGTGTACTCGAAAAGTATCGACGATGGGGCCGTCTTCGGTCCTAAACGACTCACTGCCATCTCCCTGGTAATCTCCGTACAAATCCATGACCTTTTCTATCTGGGAATCGTTGCTGAGAAGCTTCTGTACGATGGATTTTCTTAAACCGACAGGCGATATTCTGATTCTGTCGTCCCGCGAATCGTATGTCACCGCCGTCAAGGCCTCCTTGTCGTGACCCCAGACTACGCAGAACGCCTTCTCACACATGACTAGCTCACCGGTGGCTATGTCTTTAGTTGCGAACAAGCCGCGACCTTTTCCCGGGCTCTCTCCTATTTTCGTGTTGACGATAAAATCCGCAGCATCGACGCGCGGACGAGACCTCGATAGTGCGGCCTTTATCTGTTTAAAGTTATATCTTCCCGTCTCTTGCTCGCGGAGACGTTCTTCTATCTTTTTCAAGTAAACGGTTGCGCTTTTATTAGCGGGCTTAAGCTTTCGCTGGTTTTCGAATAAAACCGTCGCCTCTTGGTATTCGCCGAGGTCGTAAGCGGCGCAACCTGCGCGAAAATAAGCCTTGCTATCAAGATCCTTCGATGCCTGGTCTTCCTTTTCGATAAGAGCAGCTTTGGCGTCGAGCTTTGCCTCGTCTAGTCGACTCAGGAGAAGGTTGACGTGAGCTCGGTTGCGGTGGAGGTCTCGAGCCAGATCAGGATTCGTTGCAGATAAGGCATCTTGTCTAGCAACGCCGATGCCGTCGGTATACATCGCGTGAGCTAGAGGTAAGTTCTGTCGTCTGAGAGCTGTATTCCCCTCATCTTTAAAAGCCTTCGCAATCCTCTCTGCTGTCGCCGCATCCTTTGCTTGGCCTTTCAATTCTTTAACGGAGCTAAAATCACCGTTCGTCGTCTTGTTTCTATAAACGATCAGATCCGAAGGATGATCCACGCGAATAGTAGCTTCGCCCTGGTCTGTGAGGGTGAAGTATGGCTCTTTTACCACGAAAGATGACGCTGATTCCAAAATATCCTCTTCGTATTTCGAATTATGCAAGCACAAATCTAAACGTTCCGTTTCTCCTTCTTCATCCTGAACCATAGTCCAAGATCTAGCGATAAGCGCGACCACCGGACTCGCACGCTTGACGGTGAGATGGCGGCCGCGATGGTGAGTGTCCGCTCGGAGATCGGCGAGTTTCATCAGCTGCAAATTTTGAAGCGGAGTAACGCAGGGTGGGTATGGCTTCCCCACGGCAACGATCGGGAGCTGACCTCCTTTGCCTCTTGTCTGTGCCAGGTCGGCATCTGGAGCGCCCATATCCGCCAAAAGAGATGCGCCAGTAGTTTGCTTAACAGCGACCTGGGAATCTCTCGGTTCTCGCGCGTTGCCTGCTAACTCAGAACATTTCTTCAACCTCTCTTTGATAGAATTCCTGATACGGTCTGCTTCTTGCTCGGTCATAAAGACCGTGTTCCCGTCGTGCTGAGAGGCCATCATGAAACCAAAGCATCCTTAGTCTTACGATATAGTGCACTTTTTACTACTGTTTCTTGGTATGATGAATAGGGGCTGGTCAGTATCTTTATACTGGTCGGGGTTTTCGTTGGAGTAGATCCATGCGTGTTTATCGCGGTTATATCATAAGTAACAGGGCTCTTTAAGCATGTACTATGGATATTCAGGTAGTCAGATTAAACATCTTTGGAATAGTCCCATATTTTGCGATAATTTTTACTTGGATCAACACATATGGCAACTCTGATTTGATGATACCATATCGGCATAAGAGTCATTCTGCAACCCTTTACGTACCCCTCGCATCTGATGTCAGCGCACCGTTCCTATCTGGGTAAGTGACAGCTAAGTATCTAGATTCCTAACTCCCGAACTCCAATGTTGAGGGTTACAGGGGTTATTCAAGATAGTCCATGTTATGCTGCTCTCGTATACGCTCGTATATTACATAATTGCTGATCGGCCTAGCCGTTTTCTAGTTTCAACTTGGAACTTTCAAAGTGTACAGATAGTGAGTACCTAGATTAATCAAAACACGTTGGTAATTACTATAACACGTAACGGGTTGCCAGCACTAGTACGAGTTGCTTCAATATTCATAACTTCCAAGGTTTTTATGCAAATATGTAACGAGCAAATAAATAATATTTCAAGATTTTATAGTCGCTTTTACCTAAGCTTCCGCCTTATGCTCCCTATTTTCCACGACGAATCCACACATTTCGGCCACTTACAACTTATCAAGATATTATAATAATGTTACGTTAACTGATAGACTTTGCTGGCGAGCTCTAGATGAGATGTTTATTGATCTGGCAATTTATGGATGATAGGTTCAAAAGATGGCTATTCCCAAGGTCGCTGCGTGTGCTCATACCCCCTCGAGGTTGTAGCTTTCGCGGAGCTCTAAGGCTATCCGGTTTAGCTCTGGGAGCTCTCCGTGTGGCAGATCATCATTGCGATATTATTAGCAGCCAACACAATTAAGAAGTGACAATAAATATATCCTCGCTAGGTAGAAAGGGGTTATCTTTCGTTCAACTCCAAGCAGATGAAAACAGAGCATGGATTTTTCTATCAAGTGAGCATATCCCCTCTTGTTCCAGTACTAAAAGCAAGATGACCATATTTTAAGACGAAGGCAGTTTCAAATACACATCATTCCATCTATCGATGAGTTGGGTTACTCTATAGTTACTTAGGTAATCAACGGTTCATGTAACTCTAAGCAAATCACCATTTTTCACGTAGTTAACTCCAATGAGACTTATATTCAACAAGAGTCAAACTCAGGAAAGCACTTAACTCTCTGAATAAAGCACCTCGTTCCACGCAGTGCAACTAACTATTCATATAAAAAAGTTTGGGCGTAAAATGTCCTTCGGACGGATAACATCCTTAACGACCTAATAATATAACATTACTACCACTATCTGTTCTTCATTCTTCCTTTTATACTTCATACGTCATCTTGTTTCGATGATGATAAGCGTGTTGTTTCAGTGTATTCTAGGCAAGTATCTATTAGCCCCATGAGTCCGCTATACCAAGGTCCTATACTATACCTAGGTTCTATACTATACCTAGGTAGGTCCTATACCGACTCTCATATTTACACGAAACTACCTATAGTATCCATAACTCCCAAGTACATCGGATTATATGACAAGACTAAAACTAGGATCGACGTGATAAGGCTTTCCCGCCGGCTCTAGACCACCACGCCACGTCGTCGTCGTGGCGGACTCCCACCGTCGCTGTAGTGGTCGCCTTCCCACTTGCGCTTTCGGGGCTCCGTGACTCCGTCGTTGATTATAGAAGAGACCCTAAGCTTTATGTCTTGGTCTGTTTCCCGTTGAACGCCGTTATCTCCCCTGTTCATGACTCGATCTGCAACGATATATGCCAGTTCGAGTAAACCCGGCCGCACGTTCAGGTCCATCGAGGTGCCCTTGCATAGTAGCAGTAGCAGGTCATCATCCACGCCGGCCGCTTGAAGATCATGGTAGTTGTCGACTATTGGGCTTGCCCGGGTCTCGAAGGTTCCAACGTTTGGGAAGGTGACAATGACATTGTTAAAATCCTCTCGCCTTTGAAGTACGACGTATACCATGACCTATCTTACGATTTAGTAATCCGCGGAAGAATATGTGCTTAGAGGCTTTGGTAGACCGTTGAGAGCTGTAACTCACCTCACATATCTGGCGGACGTTTACATCTGACCCTGATTGGTGGTACATTTCGCTATAGAGTAATAGTGAGCAAATATCCATATCTTCTTCTGTTTCTTTCATATACGGGATACTCACTGGGCAGCGTCTACCATGAGCGCCTCGCCAAAGTCGATCACCTTCAGGATGGGAGTTACGTTATGCTCCGTGCTTGCGTCGAGTGCGGTGGCGCCCAACACGACGTTTTGTTGACCTAGGTCCATGTGAGCTAGATCTCCTGGCTGTATCCTGTTCAGGGTTGCCAAGCTGGCCGTCTTCGGATCCACCGGACGTCCGTCCAAGCTAGCATTGTAGTAGGCCATCTCCAAACAGGCCCTGACCACTAAGATTCCGACGTCTGATTAGCTTAAGATCGTGGGAGACGAGCCTCGAGTTCTAGATGAGAAGCTGGACTTACGACACATGAAAAGTCTCCACAGCAGGCGATTCGGCAGAGCCTGCCCATCATACTGCGTCTGATGTCTTCCGACGAAAGTTTCCAGTCCGCCGTTCTCGGCTAACTCCATGAAGATCCAGGATCGCATTCGATGTGGCCAGACCCCCGGATGCGTCGCGTTGAGCGGGTCGAGCGGGTCGTTCGGTAGGTCTAACGATTTGATTATATGTAAACCGTTGCGGAGCCTCTGTTATCGGGTTCGTTAGCGGTTAAGTGGAAACGATTCGCGAGGTCATTCGCGAGGTCATTCGCGAGGGAGGGCCTACGCACATGCAACCAAACCTTTTCGTTCATTAGTGACTGAAGTTCGTCCGGTATGTCTTCGTCCTCTTCGTCGTACGACTTATAACCTCCTAGGTCTACGTCTAATGGGCAAATCTTGACAGCCAGTCTTCTATATCTCGTGCCGGTCGAGCGGATGAACTTATACACGGCGCCGTTAGCTCCGCGACCGATCTGACCTTCCCATTTATAACAAGGAGCACGGTCGAAGAAGGTTTTGATCCTCGCGGCGACCAGCTCCGGACCCGCGTCTGAATTATAATCCATCTGATCGTCAGACATTATTGAAATGTACCTGTCGAGTGAGTGTATCAAGACTTGTCGCATATGACGATGGCTATGTGTAAATTGATCACACGAACCTTTTTACTTTACGATAGACAAAGGCCTTGACTTGAGAAGGCTCTTTAGAGCCCCTATTATCTCCATTATCCCTCGCCTTTGAGTGGGTATCTCTTCTGTTTCCAGACAAAGGGCTTAGGACTTGGTCAATAATCCTTTGATGGTTAATCGAACATGTTCAGCATTGGCACCTAGTAGGCTAGTAATTTGTGTATCAAGTACTCGAGTGAGGGTTACTTGTTGGAAGTTCCCCTTATTATTACAAGAATTGCTAATAATATACGTAACATTAGAAGCCAATGATATATATAGTATTAGAAGTCAGTCATATTAATACATGTATTCTAAAGCTCTTCTCCATACCAAGCCTTCCAGTCCAGGTGACATCCGTGTAACCAATACTACCTGTGTAGTATGTAGGTATGTAGGTAGGTAGGTAGGCGAGATGATAGAACTGTAAAGATATAATAATTTGAGCCCTACCTGGGTAGTTCATGACTGAGACAATATGATCTTAAGGTTAACCACAAGTAGATTAAATCCTTAAAATAATATACCTAGGTACCTGGTTATCTAACACGACCGTCAGTTGTCCAGACTTGACTAATATCAGTCAATGCACTTGCATGAAGAACAAGGTTTCCTGATTTACGGACGACTGTCCAGGTACGATGTATGAGTACACTGATGCCTTGTACTGATATATACTTGAGGATGGGTATCTACGTAGGTTTGGAAGGAACACTTGAGATAATGCAGTGGTTACTTACATCAATATGTATGTACGTAGGTTGGGTACCTAGGTATGACAACTGATCTATCGAATGATTATTTGGTTGGTAGACACTTGCCAGTTGACGCCGCTCTTGCCAGTTCTTCATAGAAGTATATCAGGAGTATAGTAACGGAAGCCACTGTCGTTGAATAGAAAATCATTGAGTAGGTACCCTCATGGGTCATAAAATATGCCAGCCTATCAACAATCCCGCCGGTCACCTCGCACCTGCTTTCGGGCTGGGTAGTTAAAATCACCGCAATGTGCAGCCGTCGTGAATCACCCTCGGTGATCAGACGCACCTTCCTCCCACCGCATCACCGCGTCCATCACGAGAATAGTCATAAACATATTTAAACACGGGAATAATATGCCCAGGAATCTTAACCTGAACATATACCTACCGTCGATTCAGAGCGATAAGGTAGTTCCATCAACTTACCTTACCGCCAACCTAGTTCTGAATCTTCTCTTCACCTTTACCCTCACCTTCATCTTCACAAAGAACACACTATCACACCAACCATCACACCCATCATCACACTCACTATCGCACTCACTGTCTCACTGCCGCATGATAACATCCCACCGGTGAGATAGATTCCATTTCATCCATACGCAAACCATACAAGCTAACCGAAATATCAGATTGGCACTCGCCGTCATTCCGATATTCGCGGCATCCTGACAACGCTAGGACGGCATTCACACGATGCATCGTGAACAGACCGACGAGGCCCACGAGGCTACCGAGAACGACAACATCGTTCTTCTCAAGAAAGGTTTTGCGCAAGACGTCAAGAAGCGAGCCGTCGAGAACATCGAGGCCAAAATACCATGCGTGTGCGGTCAGTACCTGTACTTCAGTCAGAAGTGCGGCCATGTTTACAAGAAGGTCCATCTGAAGTGTGGCAAGAGCACTTCGAAGAAAACAGGCAAGATTGTCCTCTGCGCCGCTGGACGTCTTCGACAAGTCCACGTTGAGGACGCCAAGGTCCCCGTCAACTGCAAGAAATGCGTTAACTCCAGTAATCGATGGAGGACCGAAGAAGTTCTCGAAAACGAACGCCGAGTTCAAGGAGAGGCTGAACGCCGATTCAAGGAAGAGAAGGAACGCCGAGTCAAGCGAGCGGACAAGGACCGATCTGCCAGTCCCGCAAGACGAGACCGAAAGCGAGGAACTGAGCGAGAGCGAGAGCGACCAGAAAACCCTAGAGATCTCGGCTCCCAGATCCCCAACAGCGACATGAACGCGGGTCCTTCGCTGTACAACTCTCTCCCAGTCCGCGCCCGAGACAAGGAGAACGCGAAGGCGGGTTCCAAGGGTTTCAAGGGTTCAGATTAAAGATGAGGCGGAGGATTAGGGGATTAAGCTTGAATGTGGATGATATCGTACCTAGCATCCGATCGGGAATACGTATATCGTGAAGCTTCAATGCGGTACATCGGGCAGGATAAGGAATGGGTACATAGTTAACACAAAAATCGCTGAGGTATCGATACGGATCATTTCCATATGATCATCGACCTCTTCCCTATTGCACATCATCAAAGAATCGAGAATCGAATTGTGGCTCTGGCGTGAATTGTTCAAAGTTGTTATGTTTACATAAGCTAAAGGGGGTGAGGATGAAGGGATGAAAAGGATAAGTTTAATGGTCTAAGTCAATAGCTATTTGTCCGGTAGGTACAAGCATATGCAGGTCCTAGACCCTTTGTGTAAATGTCCATCCAGTGTAAAGTGCATACTAGTGTGTAGTGACGTAATACCCCTCAATCTAACTTTCAGTATGCAATACCAGGTACATGTAATATCTACCAAGATCTCTAGGCCATATGCAACACATCTTCAACACATACTGATATCTACGATATCTATGAAGCAAGTTTACTCATTGAAACCTTCACCTACCCGTATTCGGCTTTGGACGGCAGCCCTGAGCTCGTTATCGCCTACTCAAACCTCATCTCGCAAATATCACCCGTCCTCAAAAACCAAAATGTCGCACCAAAAAACCCAGGAGCCGGTCATCAACAAGGTCTCGGAGCTACCCGTCGACCAGGCGAAGTGGGTGACGCTCAAGCGAGTCGACTACACCGACCAGGTCGGCAAGCAGCGGACGTGGGAGGTGGCGACGCGGAAGACGCGCGGAAAAGCGGGCGTCGACGCCGTCGCGATGGGCAACGTGCTCCTGCACCCGTCGCGGCCGGCCTCGACCATGCTCGTCATACAGTACCGGCCGCCGCTGGACGCGTACACCGTCGAGTGGCCAGCGGGTCTGATCGACGCCGAGGAGACGGCGGAGCAGGCGGCCGTGCGCGAGTTCAAGGAGGAGACGGGCTACGACTGCAGCGTGCTGAGCGTCAGCCCCGTGCAGGCGGCGGACCCGGGCATGACGGACGCGAACATGCAGCTCGTCATGGTGGAGGTGAAGCTGCGGGAAGGCGACGAGGAGCCCGACCAGCGGCTCGAGGACGGCGAGCACATACAGCGCGTCGTCGTGCCTCTGAGCGAGTTATACGACCGCCTAGTCGAGTACTCCAAGGCGGATCGCACGATTATCGCGGCTAAGCTGTTCCATTTCGCGGCTGGTATGAAGTTTACGCAGACGCAAAAGTACTTTTGATCCGCGAGGTTGAGGTTCGTGATGGATGTATTTTAGCGCGCGGAATTATCAAACCCTGAAGCATGTTGACTATGTTAATCAAGAATTGCTTCCGATATCTCGCGTTTGTCATTCGCGATATTACTTTACCTAGATAGACTTCAAGTTCGTCTACATAGTCGGATAATCTAGAACCAAATTATCTTCGTAGACCTCTAGGCTCTAGCTGCTTAGGTATATATGCTCAGATATGCTATAACTAAATACGATACTGCATCCGATCGCAAGGGTCCTTAGAGACAGACCTAAGGCGAAAAGAGCAAAGGGGCGTTAGGGTCGCTGTTATGACCGCCACAGCCCCTGAAATAGCCGTCCTTAGTGAATAAATCCAATCTCCAGCCGGTTAACCCCAAAACCTACACGGTCATTTCCACCAGTCAGCTTCATCCTTGCAAAAACGTGTGCCAAGTCATATACGACGTCTGCCGTCCGTTGCGCCCCTGTGCGCCGCGATCGTAATAAAGGACATGCCAAATCAAGTTTATCGAAAGAGATTATTTTTCCTTTTTTCTCATCCTTCGACATAGCTCATAGGACGATCCAGTATAACCAGGATGACTCCATACGTAATAGTAAAATGACTTTAGTGCGATGGGATTTCCAAGGCGGCGTCTGAATCCTTTCCGACTAATGAGCCTTGACGGTTGCCATCACGTGGATAGGGGAGTGTCGCATTCGACATTGATAAATACCCAGGGACCTATTTAATCGTAGGTACACGTAGGTATGCCGACTCGACAGCAGGGACTTTACGCTTCTTTGGTTGCCTATTTTGCCTGCTGCATTTTCGTTGCTTTGTCGCTTTGTTCGGGCTTCGTACCGACCAACTCAGCTCCATTAGATACTATGCGGTCGTGGACCTCGCTTCTGGTGCCGCTCGGCGCCGTGGCGGCTGCTCGGGATGTCGACCTAGGATGGTACCCCCCGAGTAATACCTCCGTCAATAACCTGACCGCCGTCCTCGATAGTCAAGGGGTCTACGGGTTTATTTTTAACACCTCGGACACTCCCAAGTCCCAATACGGTGCCTACAATTGGTGCAACATGCCTCACGTTCGGAAGTCGGAATACGTCAAGCCTGCGGCTGAGTACAAGCTTAGATACGTCGAAGTGGTTTGTCTTGGATCTAGGACTCCCCGAGTAACGAGAGTACGGCTAACTAAGCGTATGTAGATTCAAAGACATCATAAGCGAACTCCATATGCGAGCAACGCTTTCCCAGTCGAGTCTTACCGATGGAACTGCGACGATCAGGGCCTCTTCTACTACGGAAGTCCCTTCGGAGGCGACGACAAGCAGCCCGCGCACGGCTTCTGGAAGGGATATATCTCTTCCGTCAATCCTTTCACGCCGTCGGGTTGGATCGGAACTTGCCAATTTCCCCAGATCACTTCTGCCGGACTTGACGACTCCTGGGTCCACGGTCAAGATCTGTACGGAGTCTACCACGACTTGCTCAAATTCCTACCCGGCAGAGGCGAAGATTGGCGAAGCAAGGTGACGTATCGCGTGACCCAGAACGTGATTACGAGCCAAGTCGCCGGCATGCTGATCAACGGCATGTGGGGAACGGCCGACTCCGTACCCTTGATGATCCAAGGCGTCGGAGTGGACAGTTTGGAACCTCAGTATACCTGCAGCGTGGGCAGCAACCTGTTCAACACGATAAAATCCTCTTCCAACGCGGCTTGGAAGGATCATCTAAGCGCCGCCGCAGGTCTGTTCAGCACTTTGGATAACATATCCGGGGTGTCTCCGAGCGACTCCGGCTTCCACGCGAGCTTCGACCATTATTTCGATAACCTTTCGGCGCGACAATGTCACGCGAAACCGTTGCCGTGCAAGTTGGTGGGCGGTGTCAACTCGACGACGTGCATCGACCAGGCACTGGCTGACTCCGTCTATCGCATGGGAGAGTGGGAATATTCGCAAATGTACCGTGATGCGCCCACGTCTCTCGCCGCGTCTTCTACCGCGTATGGCGTATGGATCGCCGAGCTGAGCCAGCACCTGCGAGACGTGATAGCTGGCAAGGGCGGTCCCATCTATTTCCACAACGTTGCACACGACGGGTCTATCAGTCGAGTACTAAGCATACTACAGACCGATGTTATGGTGGTGAGTAACCTATTTTCTATCCTGCTTCAAAATACTTTGTTCGATGACACCCCGGATGTGAGGAGTTTTTACCGTTTAAGAGCCCCCTAGATTCTAGATTCTAGATCGTGAACGTGTCGGAATCTTCTACATGAGCGAACGTGAGAGCTGACGTGGTGTTCGCAGTGGCCTGGCATGGGCAGCGAGATAATATTCGAGGTATACGAGCGGGCTGGACACGCGATACCGTCCCCGACCTCGAGCCCGTCCCCGAGCAAAAGCGCCAGCGCCAAGACAAGTACGGCGCAGACCAAAGGAACGGAGGCTAACGGATTCTATATAAGAGTCCTGTTCGGAGGGAAAACGCTAAAGTCTTCGAATCCCACCCTCGGATTGCTCGATATGATACCCGCAGAGACTCTGCTCGCGTACTTCGACGGCTTGGTCGGAGCGGGTGCGAGCCTAGTCGTGGGTAAATGCAACGGAACGATACCTGTATGATATCGAGTTAGAACTATTAGAGGCGACTAGAAAGTCGTGGAAAGTCGGGTAGCATTTGTCATTCATATTATCTAATGCTAATATGTGCCAACTGCTTCTCTACGTCGTTCCATCTCCCTGCTCGCATCGGGTCTAGTGATCGGACTTTCGCTAGCCACTTGCTAGGGTCTTCGATCTGGATATCTTCGTTCCCTTGTTCTCCGAGCCGTTTTAAGGCGATGGTATACTCGAGCAGAGACTCGTAAATCCATTTCACGTCATCGTAATCCTCCAGCAGGTCCTTTATCTGTTCAATCTCCTCCTTCACGTAGGCTACCCTCTCGCCAATCGTCAGAGCTGGCGCTATGGCATGTTCGCTGGCGTGGTTGACGATCTGCGACACCATATATTGGTGGTAGTACCATAGGCTCTGGTCTTCCGGGCCGACGTTGAGAGCGTCTCGGACAAAGCTGAGCTCTTCCTCGAGGAATGCCTTCCTTGCCGCGTCGTCCGCGCCTCGTTCCTCCAAAAGACGTAGCATGAGCTGGCTCCGATTATGCCAGGCCGAGAAATTAGATAGGTCGGCGGAGATCTTCCCGGTGGTGTAGGCGAACTCGTCTTCGACCATGCTCTGTCCACCGAGGGAAGGGCTCTCCAGCGCGGCTACTACGTACCGCCTGTAGCCCCATGCGTGGAAATTGCGTCGATCTTTAGTCAACATCTTAGATGCCAGAGCAAGTTCGGCCTCCCAGATCTTGCGGGCGGCCGTGGTGGGTAGTCGTACGATAGCTTGCTCGAGAAGCCATTTACGATACTTCCAAATCCAGTAGCACTTAGGAAATTCGAGAAGAAGCGGGATGGTGAATGCAAGTTCGGACTTTATGACTTCGACGTCCGAATTCGTAGTCTTCTCTTCCTCGCCGTCAACTGTAGTACCACTCTTCCCAGCTGTCGGGGAGCCTCGGCGTTGCGGGATCGCATCCGAGGATGGTGGTAAGGAGTATTCTGAAGATGGATTCATAGTGGCGCTCCGAGAAGTATTCGGTGACTCCTTCGAGGGCGATGACCCATCCGAGGGTCTTGATAATAATCCAGAGATTAGACAGCGGCGACGGACGTTCCATATCGTATAATATTCGGGATTTAGACGGAGTAGTTTAGAAGTGAGTTGGAAGAGGGTGGTGTCGTAGTTTTCAGTGGAGGCACGAGTGCGGATAGATTCTTCAAGTTCGTGGTACTTTTTTATCTTGTCGAGATCTTGCTGTCGTTGTTCTTCAGTTCGGGCGGTTCGAGAAGTGCGAGCTGCGCCGTGCTATCTTGCTACCCATCAGCTATCTCGATGCGTGAAAGCGGGGGAAATCGGCTCGGGAACATACACTGTCCATGTCGAAATGGCTTGACTATGTACGGGAGATCTGACCTGTTGATAATCGTCAGACGATCTTCGACGGGACATGGCAAGAATATTTGAGTAGAAAAGACGAAAGGTGGAAGATGGAAACGCACGACCGATGACGTCCCGTCGATAAGATAATGGACGCTAAACTTTTGCCTAACAAGCTAAGCTTCAACTTATACTGCATAGCTGCATTAATGTAATCTGCTTTGATGCATGACTCTTTAATATGACCACTTATGTAATCTGTAATACGTACCTATGTAATCAGATATATTTTCCTTTTCCTTCATCTCATCACTATCACGACCACGATCACTGATCAATCTTAGGATTCATTGGGGCTTATCAGACACCTTTATTAGCACATTTCAGTAAATTAAGAACTTTGAATATCCCCTACCTATGTAGGTAGTTACATATAGATACAGTAGCCCTAACCTAGGACTAAAAATCCAACATCAAGCATACTATATCTATAATAAAATTATATCTCATCTGAAACTACGACTTCCACAGGCTCCAACAACCCGTTCATTTTATCGGAAGCGCATAGAGTGACCCATACTCGAATACAACCTTATTCTCAATGCCGAATACGTATGGGGTTGCGCATATGCATTCATCAAGCGAAAGTACTTACTTCGTTCTATTCCAAGGTTAGCTTGTTACATGCACATACCTGGGTAGGTGAGCTCGTGTTTCCGTGGGACTTCTGTTCCCAAAATGGAAACCGTCTCCTTGGACAAGTCGAGTCTTTCTCTCGTGCTCTTCCCTTCCTCCTCTCCTTTTACCCTCATATCCTTCTCTCCTTCTTCGTTCGCCTGACTTGGAGGAACGTTGGTATACCCCAGACACGCAGCTGGGTTTCGTGTCCGGTCCACGTAAAAGCTCGCAGGATCCTATTACTCTCCTTCTCTCCGCCTAGGTTATGGCATTGATTTATTCCACTCTTTCTTCTTTAATTCAACATGCCTATCGCGTCACCCGACCGATTTGTGCCCTTCCGCGTACCGCTTGGGGACCGCTTCCGATCCACCAAGCAAGTCCACGAGCTGTCACCTTCTGAACGGCTGTATCGCACGGACGACGCGGCTTCTGACGTATTTTGCTTCATGCCAAAGCGGCCTACGCCGGTTTCGTCTCGGAAAGCATCTCGATCCGACGGTAACCAACGAGGTCTCGGCACAGTTCTCAGTTTGCACAGCCTTAGCTTAGAGCAGCGACAGGTCAGCAACGGTGCCGTCTGGTCGGTAGGAGGACTTGCCCCCGGCGGAATTGACGACGGGCAAGGCCGCCGCGTGAGCTCCGGCACGAACGCCCGTCTCTATGCTACGTCATTTTCGAACGCGCGGCCAAAGTCGGAAGAAGACCAGGAAAAGCACGAGGGTCGGCTCGCTCTGGCGTTAAAAATTGATCGTGTTCAAAGAATACTAGATTTCGACGGATATTCAACGTTCCCAAGTTGCAAGCACAAGAAGAGGCCGTCTCTACGAGAAGCCAAGACGACATGGACGGGAAGTGAGTGGAGCAACGACTGTCATGTACCGAGTAGGATGCAATTTTCCCGTGTTTCGGTTCCCAGTCGAGACTAATGCCACCTTAGAAATCCGCAAAGAAGAACGTTGTCTTCCCAATGCACCTTTCAAGTGCGTGGTTCTTTCTTTTCTTCCCTTTTTCTTGCTCTTTTTCCCCCTTTTCTATTCTCCTAGCCGACTCACGCTAACAGCTTCTAGGGTCCTGGACGCCCCAGGCCTGCGAGATGACTTCTATTGCTCAATCATGGCTTATTCTCGAACGTGTAACACCTTAGCCGTAGGACTAGGCAATCTGCTCTACGGATGGTCAGAATCCTCGGGCGTCACGCTACTAAACGCGGGACTCAAGGACGGGTCGTGGCTGACTTCGGTGGCGTTCTCTTCGGAACAGGGCGGTAAGTCGATACTTGCATTTGGTCGATCGAGCGGGCTCCTCTCTTTGGTATCGCTCTTCGATAGTCTGCTCCCCCGCTTCGAGGCATATCACCCTGAACCGATAGCTTGCCTCTCCTGGCGTCCGGCCGCCACGCCGCGACCGTCTCTGAGCAAGTGTAATCCCGGTGTCCTAGTCAAGACGGAAGACCTTCTCGTGGGCGATGACATGGGCGACGTCTATTATTATTCGGTTGAGTGGCCCGAGCCCTAGGAGGTGGCCCGGGAAAATTGGCGCGGTGCCATGACTTTGCTCGCTCGCATTAAAGTCCATTCTCAACAGATATGCGGCCTCGCGTGGTCCCTCGACGGTGAACAGTTCGCCACCGGGGGCAACGACAATCTGTGCTGTCTCTTTAATGTCGACTGCGTTACCGACGCAGCGCCTTGCCTAAGTCTCAGTTTCCCAAAGGTACCATTGGTCAGTCTTCCTTATGGCGGAAAGGGGCCTCTCTTACCATATGACGCGAATGCGGGAGACGGTGCCTCGGTTTCGTCTCCGGTCGTCTTCGACTGTCCCAGTCCGCTATCTGCCATGAAATACTTACCAGCCGGGTCGGAGAAGCACCGATGGCGCCACGGAGCGGCTGTCAAAGCCATCGCGTTCTGTCCGTGGCATCAAGGGCTAATAGCCACGGGCGGAGGATCTAACGACAAATGCATCCACTTCTATCACACGAATTCGGGCGCCGCTCTCGCCACCATCTCGGTAGCTGCGCAGGTGACGTCTCTCATATGGAGCACGACTCGCCGGGAGATCGCGGCAACTTTCGGATACGCGCAGCCCGACCACCCGTACCGCATCGCCGTGTTCAGCTGGCCTGACTGCCGGCAGGTCGCCGCCGTGCCGTAGGAGGGCGAACATCGGGCGCTGTATGCTATCGCGTACCCGGGAGGGCCGAGCGATACGTACCGCACCAAGGAGAGGCTGAAGAGTCGCACTGCGGAAGAGGGTTGCATCATCGTGGCGAGTAGCGATGAAAGTGTGAAATTCCACGAGGTCTGGGCGGCGGGTCGCAAAGCAACTACGTTTGGGAGCGGTGTCTTAGCTAGGAGCGACATCTTGGAGATGGGAGAGGGAATTGACAAAGAGGGTGACGTGATTCGGTGAAGAGAGAAAAGAAAAAGAAAACGAAACAAAATTAGTATAGCATCGTTTCGTAGTGGATAGAAACAATAAGTCATGTAGCAATAAATGACGTTTTTCATATTCTCTTTTACAGTACCTAGTAGTAGTAAAAGGGGTTCTGGTTTCGTAGTCCATGCTGGCGACCTTGAGGATTGATCAGTGCTCCACAGCTTACGATATAGGTCAATATCACCAGGAAATTCATCGAGTACACAATCGTGAACCTCTCACTAAGAGAATCAGGTATGAGTAAATCATATAGTAAACCATATACACCTATTTCATACTTGGATCATGTAAACTTGGCTGCACCGGATATCTGCGTCGGATAACTCTTCAGCATGTCTTATACATTAGGAAAGTTATTCATGTCTCATACCAATGAACTATTCAGAGCAATAATGTAATAGTCATTCGCTTCTCTTTCAACATCTTTCATATGCTTTGTCAAGAGCTCAGAAACATCTGCGAGTATGATTATTACCCCTGATCAAATGACGAGATGCCGTGATCGAAATGGCTAATAATGAAATACATAAGAAACCATAATTGAAAGATGTTTGTTCTCTAAAATAAACCGAGCTAATCCTCTTTCGGCTCGGTCACGTTCCTCCAGATGTACTTAGTCACTCACCGGCCATTGATAGTGCCCCGCCTTGTCCCGCTCATCTACAGGACCAGTTGACATGGATAAGCAGAGAGCCGTAGAAGAAGGTACCTAGGTACGTACATTCATAAACTTCCACTATTCACATTGATGTGAATTCAATATAACGGGTACTTTCTTGCTAGAGCGTACCTTATGTAGGTACTAATAGGTCCCTACGTCAAGTGCTATTCGACATTCTGACATTGAATGTTGTATGCACTGCTTCTCAAGTGCTAACCTTAGGCATAACCTCTATCGCGTACATATGGCAAGGACCTCAGTGATGCGTATCTAGGCATACCCTTTGACGCTATGCATAATCGCTAATCGCTATGGGTGACTGTAATCATCAGCTCGGTAGGTCACTTGAGTCTCAGTGCTCTACCAAGGTACAACTGATACGGTAGGTATGGTCCTAACATTGAAAGTATCTAAGTGTCTGAGTACGTACAACGTAGATGGCAAATGGTAGGTATTTGGTCATCAAAGCCAAATCACCTGCGCCACTAAAGGTTGCCTTGGCTGTTTTGTGGGTCTCCATTAGGAAGTCGGACCTGCCGTCTGCTGCCTCCTCCACCCCCCCCACGTAAAAGCAAAGCCGTACCTTCAAACCTACGAACCTCCAACCTTCAACCTAAACCTCAACCACCTTTTATCGTCATCATCATCATCACCCGGCATTTCTTCATCTCTCCTTGCCTCTCCCCAACGCGACCGTCTATTTCTTGAGACAAACCCTCGCCCAGTGCCTCGCACCATTCAACCCATTTCGTCGTCGGCACCCGAGAACAACGTCAAGATGCGATCCAAGTTTAAGGACGAGCACCCCTTCGAGAAGCGCAAGGCAGAGGCCGAGCGCATCCGCCAGAAGTACGCCGACCGCATTCCGGTATGTATATATTGCCATATTGATTTATATCTGCCAAACTCGACTTGTATTGCAATCATTAGATGAGTTCTGGTCGTCGTAGAATGACGTTACTCCCATTACAGCTCCGTCTCCGTTCTCGCCGCTTCCATCACCTCACCGCTTTGTTTGCTCTTTTACCCTCCCAATACCCTAATACGCACCCATATTCTAATCCATATCTCTGCAAACAGGTCATCTGCGAGAAAGTCGAGAAATCCGATATCGCGACCATCGACAAGAAGAAGTACCTGGTGCCGGCAGACCTCACCGTAGGCCAGTTCGTCTACGTCATCCGAAAGCGCATTAAGCTATCTCCCGAGAAGGCCATCTTCATCTTCGTAGATGAGGTTCTCCCTCCGACCGCCGCTCTCATGAGTAGCATCTATGAAGAGCACAAGGACGAGGATGGGTAAGTGTCAATTGTCCGCATTCCCACTATAGACCGGCAGTCTTACTAACCATCCCGCTCATCCATAGATTTCTCTACATCACCTACTCGGGCGAGAACACGTTCGGCGAGACTGCCTAAGGCCCCGGGCCTCTTCTCAATTTTAACTCCCAAACGGCGTTATGGTTTTATTCTGGGCTGGACGACAACGATGTGCAATAGTGGCAATGAATTACGGATGAGGCGGGCATAGCCATGGCAGATGGTTGATAAGAATGGCATCTTCCCCGACTAATCGCGTCATGGTCCTCAAGGTGTAGATGACCTTAGTCTTTGATTTCATATCACCAATAACCAATGTGGCTCTTGTCCACCAAGTCGTCTTGTGCAAGGGATCCCGTCGTGACACGTCGTGACTCACCTGTGTCATCTTTGTCATCTGTATCCTCGCTTTTCCTTCTCCGGTTTGGTACGAGTATGGGCAGGATTTGTACCAGTTGACTCGCGATTGCTTAACTCCGTTTTCCGTTGTCCAGCTTGTGAGATGATTCGTATGATGCCACATGCCTATCTATGTAATGGAGACCCACCGTGTTTGAATACCTCTACTATTACGTAGGCCTTTCTCCGAAGATAGCTAACAAAAGGCGGATCCTAGTCATATCAAGTAACTCTTAGCCTCACTACTTCTAGAAAATCGTGCTAGTTATGGACTGCCCACTCGGGTTACATGCCATGTTATCCCGTTACCAAGTCGTTACTTGATCAGCAATACCCAGCTACGTTAAGCCAAATCTCATCCTAGACTCAACTCCATCGCCAGCTCGAGAAGGATAACCATGTATTTGATCATGAGTTAGAATGAACATAATCAGACGGACTTCATAAATTTCAAACCGTATATATTCAATACATTTCATTAAACTGACTTGTCACCAATGAATTTGACTACCAAGAATGTGCTTTGAATTCATTAGTTAGGACCAAGAGTACAGCAAACACTCCGAGTTCCATAAAGACGAGCATTCTAGCAAGTCCATGACTACCATAGACTAGTCTATTATCTGTTATTGAATACTTGACGAGCAGTAGTATGAGATCATTCTCACAAATAACGATGAGATATGAGATACCAAATCTCTCCTCCGATCCGGCATACTTAGCGAGTTTCAAGAGTCTATCCCCAAACGAAACGACAGCCTTATAGTCCTTGTATTATCAGGTGGAATGGCCGAGTGGTTATGGCGCTGCGTTCAGGTCAAGCTGAATTTGAATCTAGTATTAGATGCCGGTGGTAAAATATCGCAGTGGAGCAATCCGCGTGGGTTCGAGTCCCACTTCCATCACTCGACTGACGCCGTCCAGAGGATAAGCGTGGAAAACTTTTTTTTATCAATATTCTCGGTGTGAGGTTATATTCTATCATTATTCTGGCCTTCATTTTTGCCGTGCGGTGTTTAATAGGATGGTAGTCGAGATGGTCTCTTCCTAATCACTTACAAATCCCACGACATTACCACTTCCTTGATATATTTTGATGTACTTTCATTAGACGAACAGATTCATCTAGATAGATTACCTACCTAAATAAAGGTCTAGTAAGAACTATAGGGGCTATTTCGCTATTAGTTGATGCTGCTGATAGCTTAACTTGTGAGCCCCTTATCTCATAATCACATGTTTCTTTCCCCCTATTAGAGATATTTCATGCCGTAGACCCCCCATATTATCTCGCCATTAATGAAGCTACTCAGCAAATCATATGCCAAATTAAACATTGTTATATCATCAAGATGAACTACAAAAGCTACTGTTACATAGGGGTGATATCTAGAATCCTGGGTCTATCTTCATAAACATACCATAAGATGCTATCACAATCATCTCAATTATCTCAAGCATACATTTTTTTTAGAGTAGAATAGATACACTACTGTGCAGGTTGAGCTTAACGCGATTCCTAGATGACATCGGTAATAAGACCTTGAACGTGTTTTCAAGACCCTTTCTGAGTATCTAGGTAGGTAACCGACTGGGGAACGTATGGCTCTCATGAAATACTCGAAAAGAAGCTTCACCGACAGATATATCGATGCGATACCGACGTTTACCTAAATCCTGTCCAAAGATCTTGCTCTCTGTCAATATCCGCCCTGGTGGAAATAGTAGCCTATAACTAAAGTAAAGAGACAGTATCAATAAACACTACCTATGAAGGTACATTGTGAAAAATCTATGTTGCTTCAATCATCCACAGAGATCATGTGTTAGAACCTTCTGAAGACTCTTATCTCTTTTCGATTTAACATCAGCTACTACATCGATTTCATACCTATGGCGACAGTAGGCTATGATTCATTGAGTTAACGCTCATAAGTACGAAACATCCCAAGATTATCCTGACCTAGGTACTCTTCCTCGTAGTCCACAATGTTACTATCTACCTCTAAGGGTTAGAAACATAGGAAGGATAGCGGACTCCTAGGGGATGAGACGTAGCTCCAAGATCGTGTAATGAGGCAAAAAGCAGCCTGGTTTACAAACACTGGAAGATGTTGGTAGTATTCCACCACAAATCGCACCATTATTCTTGATATTCTATCTTCTATTTTCTGCGACCTTCTATTCAGTTGAATTCCAGTTCTAAGAATCTCGCTCTTTGGCTGAGAGTAGATAACCTTACTGCCTGAAAAGGGCCCCTGAATGTAACGAAATACGTTTAGATACAGCAACCTATGATAGTTTATGACAATAATCTATATTCTAGATGTAGTTGATCGAGCACATAACGAAGTGACACCCGTTACCTCATCATCGCTAGCTTTTCTAATCCCCTACGGCGACCCCTAATATCTAAACTTCTGTCTTCGAGGTAGCCCCTAGGTATCTAAGATTCGGAGTCTAGGTAACAAGGCGATGTGCACAGGAGGCAAGCAGGTAATTGCTTCGTCATGCGTTATGAGGATTGCAAATTATTGGTTGACTGTGTCTCTAAAGAGTGACATACTACGCGAGTCTGGGTTCGAAATATGCGGAATGTGTATTAAAAGCTTAAAAACTCATTACGACGTTCATTGCCTAATCGTCGTTCCAATGCACGTCGAATCTACGTCTCGAAATGGAATGGGGGTAGTTCGGTAGCATAGTTAAACACTTTTACCTCTCATCCCCGGACGGCTTCAGCTATCAAGGACTTCTCACCTCATATCACAAGATGCATACAAGACGCACACTTCATTTCACATATTCGTTCTCGAGAATAGGCTAGACCGGTTTCAGTAACCATCTTTCTTGTCTGTCTCCAAAGATCAGAAGCCTCGGCTTGCGTTGCTCTACCTGTGGCCTCTCTCTCCTCTGCTTCTACCCCTCGCAGCCTGATAATTTTTTGGTCCAGATGACAAGATAAAAAAACAACAACGCAACAACCGAGGACGGCGACCCGCGCATGGGCTTTGATGCGCGGGGAGCCGTGGGAATATCGTACACGAGGTGAATACTTCAAAACTCTGCCCGTAATCACCGGAATTAATAAAGAATCCCTTCAACGCAATAGCATCCGCCGCTTATGATCCCCTTTCCGTAAAGGCTCGAATTTAATAGAACAACCGTGGACCAACGCCGATTTTACTTTGCATTCCACTGACAACGGACGGTTCGGATGGAGATATCGAAATAAATTAGTCCGGCGTTGTCGAAAAAAACGTCAATCGTGGATGGGGAATCGCTGAGAACCTCCGAGCCTCCCGGACCCCTAAAAAATGCAAGTCCTAAACGTCCAGCCGATGTGATAAGTGCGTATAAAACAGCCGAGCCAAGACCGAACAACAGTACAGAATCTCGTATCCAGAGGTGACGCCGGTATGCTAGGTTTTTTCCTCCTTTCTTTCTTTCCTTCTTTCCTTCCTCCCTTCTTACTCTCTCTCGCTTCTCGACATGCGGCCCTCACTTTTCGATGTGCGTTCGTCTGCCCAAGAGGACGGGCCGGTCATCACGCCGGGTTGCCTTTCGCGCGTTTCTGTAACCGGGGCGTCGTCTGAGGCTTCTTGTTAGCCATTCCGACGCCGTTGACTTGGCCTCCCATGCTCGAAGGCGTGGGGGCGCCGCTGTCTTCTTCGGCCTTGACGGTCGACGGTCTCCTCCGCTTATTGCTTGCTGGGCTCGTGTTAGCGCTAGGCCCGCTAGAGTTCGTCCCTTGCTGACTCTGTTGCAATTGCATGCCTGGCGCTTGCATGTGTCCTTGCGCCGGGCTGCCCATATGAGGCGAGTTCGGAAGCTGTAGGTGAGTCGCCGCCGGCGAAGCGCCCATCGGGAACTGTCCGAAGCTAGGCGTCCGCGGATTAGGAGGGCCGTTGCCTTGTGGCTGACCGTTTGCTATGGGTTGCTGTGGGGCGTTATGTATGTTCTGGCTAACGTATTGCTCGAGCGCGGCGTAAGGGGAGAGGCCGGGGTGCGTATGGTAAAAGTTGAACAGGGGCTAGACGAAGTCCAAGTCAGTAACGAGATCGAGTTTTCGAGGGTTTCCCCGGGACGTATAGCGTTTCTTGAGTTTCTTGAGAGATGTGCAACTTACGTTCATTTGTCCGACGACTTCGATTATCTAGAGCGTCAAGTTAGCGTAAGCGCGTGCGACTAGCCGTGAGGAAAGACCAAAAGACGAAAAGACGAAAAGAGAAAGGGTTCGTACCTCGAGAAATTGGAACACGGCTTCCGTGATGCCCGAATTTTGCTTCACGGCCGACTGGGGTAGGTCGATGTCGGGGGGTTGAACTTGAGGCGATTTCATCGGTTTCTTTCCCTTCTTGCTCATCTCCGGGGACAGTCGCGAGTCTGGCCCGTTCACCCTGTGCCACTCTTTAACCCAATTGTGCGCCGGCTTCGCTGCCTCTATAACCATCTTCCTCGAATGATATTCCTCGTGACCTTGGGTGATGAATTCCAGAAGTTCTAATTTCTGTTCGCTGTCGAACTGTGCTCGTAGAGTTCCCGACGCGACGACCTAATCACGCAGCTGTTAGATTTTCGGGTTTTATTTCGTCTGCTCGCCCCACCACTGGCGCCGCGATTCGTGCAACCTACATGCGAATTGTCGAACCAGTAGGTCAGGTTTGCCTTCTGGTTCTCGATGAAGTGACACCCGTTCGGTAACGGCCTATCTGTAATCCCCTTTTCGAAGGTTAGGTTTATTCTCCTGATGCCGCTCTCGTAGTGCGTGTGGAAATATCTGGCTAGCGAGGGCTGCGTTATCTCGTATTGCTTGTCCCCGTGCTCTGCGTTCGGCATCTCCATGCCGACGTCGAAGAGGGAGAGTCTGAAGACGCCTCTGGGCGAAAAGAACTGCGCTACGAAGTTATTCCAATATGTCAGATCATCTTTTGTTCTCGAGCCCTATCGAGTGCCTAACGTTAGCGATTACTTGTGACGACGGACGGGGGCGTGCGGCACTGACCTGATATCCGCTTAGGTGTTCGCCGAACTGGAGTAGCTTTAGCAGGCAGTGGCCCTTCATGCCGTCGTTCTTGTGCTGCTGCTGTTGCTGCTGTTGCTGCTGCTGTTGTTGCTGCTGTTGCTGATGTAATAATTGCTGCTGCATACCGGCCGGGAGTTGGATATGCTGGCCCGCTTGCAGCGGCTGCGCGTTGGGTTGCTGGGGTTGGCTCTGTTGACCGTTAGGTGGCTGACCCTGGCCCTGAGGTTGTTGCGGCTGGTTGCCCTGAGCGGGATTCGGCCCTTGAGTTTGCGGTTGGTTCGGCTGCGCGACCGCCGGCGTCGGAGCTCTCTGGGGACCTTGAGAATTTGGCGGAGGCTGTTGGCCGGGCTGCGGGCCGGGTTGCTGTTGTCCCGGTTGTTGCTGGGGTTGAGGTTGCGGTCCCTGCTGTTGCGGCTGCCCTTGCGGTTGCGGCTGAGGTTGGTGCCCTTGGCCTTGAGGGCCTTGCGGGACCTGCTGCCCCATTGGCTGGCCTAACTGGGCCTGCTGCAGCTGAAGTTGCTGGGGAGTCATCTGACCGGGATGACCGGGCTGGTTACCTTGGTGCATCGGGTTGTTAGCCTGCTGCTGGGCAGCCTGGTGTTGGTGGAGTGCTAATTGCTGCGCTAGGAGATGCTGTAAATAGCGTTAGAATCGAAGGCGAAACTGGGAAGCTTGCGGCACGAAAAGGGGGGATATTATTTACAGCGTGCTGAGGATTTTGATGTTGTCCTTGTTGAGCGAGGTGCGCCTGCTGGAGATGCTGAGGTATGGCGACTCGTTGCATGTTCGCGTTTGACCTCATTGCCTGGAACTGGGCTGCAGTCATGTTGCCCATGTTCATCCCCGGCATATTCATCGACATGCCGCCGTTATACATCTGTTGCTGGATCATAGCCTGCCTCTGTTGTTGGAGCAACCGCTGCTGTTGCATCTGGGCGAGCATTTGAGGATTTTGGGCTACTGCGGGAGCATGGATTTGTTAGCGAAAGCACGACGCGAAATATGTACCTAGGCACCTAGACACGTATATGCCGGGCGATGGCTAGAACTTGAACTTGTTAACTTGGCTAGACTCACTTGCGAATTGTTGCTGCTGGAACATCTGCTGCTGGGGACTTAGGTGCTGTAGGGCGTGAGCGTTTGGGCCGCCGGCGCCGGGAGGCATACCTCCCATCATGGCGGCGGGATTGACCTGTCCGCCGGGGCCGGACACTGCCATATGAGCTGCCATCTGAGGAGGCATTCCCGGTTGGCCGCCCGGTTGGCTCTGAGTGTGAGCCATGCCCGGAGCGCCCATGGGATGGCCAGGGTGAACGCCGGGGTGTTGCTGCATTCCTGGATGAAAACCACCCGGTCCTATGCTAGCTGCCATCATTTCTGCAAATGTCGACTATCCACGGCGTGGATATCGACGCCCAACCTTGATCGCTATCTCATACGCTTGTATTCCCGTATATCCCCTGTTCACGGCAGCGGTCGCGATCTCGATGCGCGATCGATCGAGCGACCCTTAGTTTGGAGAGCTTTTGCTGACAACACCGTCTTGTCTAATTTTTTTCAATTTTTAAATTTTTTCACCTTCCCAGCTTTTCGCAGACAGTGACCTTTTCGAATTCCTTCTCTTTCTATTTGCTAATCTGGATACGTGAATATTACCAAAGCCACGTTCGACGTTATGCGATCGGTTGATTGACGACGGGATGTGGCCAGGATTGTGTGAAGATGGTCGCGTTTAAGATTGTTAGGTTCGGGTCCAGGCAACGAGGCTTAACGTTGAAAAGGGCTGATGACATGCAGCGTAGAGATAATCCGCGTCCGCGTTCGTGGCGAAGAAAGTGGTAAGATGTGAGATGTGAGAAATGAGAAGGCGAAGAACGACGGGCGATTTGGACGGAGTTTGAACCCAGAAACGCGGTGGGATAGAGTTTATCGCTTGCGCGCCACACGTACGGTAGGCACAGACACAGAACACACGGAAACCTCAGGGCTGTCGTAGCTTCCTCGCCGTCACTCAAGAGTTGACGCCACACTTCGAATAGTACTTTTTGACTTTCAATGTTCGGCTTTTTTTCGCTCCGGATCGATAATCGATTAAGGTCGATCAGTATCCTCCCTCACTTCGAAACAATTGGCCTGGTTGACCTTGCTACTGTTGTTCGTGACCGTCGCTGTCGCGCAAACGCAGACGCAGGCGCAGAGGATATAGAGTCAGAAGAACAAGGCGGAGCGGAGAGGCGGACGTGCACGATGTGATGCGATACGTCGAGAAGGTGGATGTGGATGTTGCTAAGTTGTTGGCGTCGCGGGATTCGCTTTCAAACAGCACACACGGGCACAGTAAAAGTAGTGTTGCCGACACGGTATGGGTACAGCTTTATGGCTTTATGGTATGATTTTTTATGTATCCGGTGTATGTATCTTATGTATGAACGGTACGGGATGTATGCATTAGTTGGTTAGTCGATTAGTTAGATTAAATAATACTTTTAGTGCTTAAGCGACGACGTCGGGCGATCATTTTCAACCAAATTGTTAGTGATGGTTGTGTAATAATGCGGATGGCGGGTAACAGGCTAATAAAAGGGCGAGTTGAGACGGGCTGGACGGGGGAGAGAGGGAAAAAAAAAGGATCAATAGACGACAGGAAGGGCAGCACTGTAAATGATGTAGTAGTAAGTGGTAGCAGTAGGGGTCGTAGACTAGTAGGCTGGGCTGAGCTTGACAAGGCGATGTGGTAAGGATATGAATAAAATAGAATGCTATTCCGCGCCTATGGGTGCCTCCTTGATACTAGACGCCACTCAGACGGGATAGGTACATTCGAGATGCGAGATGCGAGATGTCAAAATTAAGGCAGGCCTGCGAGCCTCAAGAGGTTAGGTAAGGGGTATTCTCTTCTCAATTCCTCTTATTCACGTGTCGTTTTTGCCTTGTTCTTATGTATGACCTTGACGGTCTCGATCGACTGATAGAAGGTATCTGATGCAAATGATTTGGAGATTTAGTGATACATCGTACAGAGTACTGTGCAGATATGAAAATGGGACAGATGGGAGCGGGCGGAAATTATCTCTTCCTCGCTCGATTGTCGGGGGACGAACCCTTCAAACCCCCAAAAGAGGTGGCAGGTCGGACAGTGCGAGTCAAAGGACGAGAGGGAAAAATATTCCCGAAACAGCGAGAATACTGCTGAGCACCGTATGGTACCCGCGACGTACTGTATGCGAAACCACGTGCGCGGTATCAGCCTAGCCCTAGATAGGACCTGGAAGCTGACATTAGCAAATTAGCAAGGTTACGCCCCCTGTTCTAATTGAAGCTTAACCTTTTAAGTTCGTTCCTTTTATTCCCGATCATCGGTGATGAGGTAAGACATCAATTCATTCATAGTGCTTGCTGACATAATCGGCTTCATATTTAAATTTAGAGTAGGTAGGAGTAACATATTGCTCTTCTTCCTCTTAGCATCGTGGGATGTTTTCCAAGAACCAATTGCACAAGTTGATGTGAGGTGAAGTTAGAGATTGCTGAGTGCTGATCTCGAGCAGCGATGTCGCACATGATCAGAATATATATATATAAGCCACGAGCCACGGCTTATACTGTCTCCTCTCTTTTCGTTTCTCATTTCCTGGTATAGGAAGGATTAAGCATGTCTGAAGCATTGTTGAGTATTCTGATTTAATCTTTGAGGTGTTTAAGGTGGTTAAGACAGTCTTATTTTATTACACTCGACTGCCGCAGCAACTTGTTTGATACTCTTGGAGTTGACACCAAGCATTCACCCAAGCGATGTGCCACTCTGGAAGATTCACCATGATATGTCCAGAGTGAAATCTTGTAATGTATAACGCATTGGAAAGTGCCAATGGCCTAACATTGGTATTCTCCGTATCTACAACACCAACGAAGCGACGAAGCCCGGCCTAATTGGTCGACGATGATGGACGAGATAGCGTATAAGTGGTAGAGATACCAACGTTCGGAAGATCGCGGGTAAAACAGACAGTACGAGAAAAAATTACTTAATCTTCCCATAGCTTGACATTCGAAGCCCTTTTTGGAGTACCGTAAGATAGATATATCGCACTGTATGAACAGAGATGACCGGCTATTTTTAGCGCCGGGATTTTGCTGGCAGGTGTTAATTGGCTGAAGCAAAAAATATGCAAGAAATCCACCTTCATCACATGACCGTTAGATTTTCCGCACGGTCGAATTTAATCCGATTCCAACCAGTGAGGCTCCGTAGATGGGTCCACCTAAATTTTTTTTTCTTGCTACTTCAAAAACTGGAGTTCGTCCTGTGTATTATCTTCACTTCACCTTCGCAACATTCTTTCTGCTCACCACAAGAGTGCATTTGCTTTGGGAGTGAAGCCGCCTGTGTCCGTGTATTTTGACTCACCAATTCCAAGGTTGGATACTGGGATTCGCAAGTGCTCGTTCTCAGTTTCCAGGTATTTACAGCAGCTGTTTTGCAATATGCAGTCAAGATGCAGTCAAGGTACGTCTCTCCATTTTTACTTCTGCCAATCGGCATACGCGACACATACCACATATTCCGCCCTCTATCAGGATGACAACCATTAAATATGTCTTCTTTTCCCAACTGAATCGACCATGAAAGAAACTTCGTCTGTCCGGGCCTTTCCACTGCGGTGGAAGCCTGCTACTTGCCAGTATACTCTGTCTGACTTCCCATCTCGTGATCCGTGCCTTGCGGCATCGCGAGATCGGGATTTGGAGGGATTGTCTCCTATCGCAACCTACATCCAGATTCTGAGTTAAGTGCTAACTGGATAAAAGTGATAGCTTTGGTTTTTGGTGTGAATCGTGACTAAAATCGCGGTTGGTGTTTTCTAAGCAAGGTTAGTCAAGTATTTTCATTTTCGTTACTGGTCAAGTTATCTAGGCGTTTCATATGATGAAACTTCCATACACATTCGCAGTTTCCACTCGAGCTTCGATCAGAGCCTTTTCTGAAGCAGATGAGGGTATAATGTCCTTCCCTTGGATGTCTGAGAAACGCCTATTTCCACTGAATTTTGCCGATGTTTAATTGAACTGTTGGCTGACCAGATTTACCTAGATACTACAATCAGTTGCGTTAAGTGAAAACCTTTAAATACTGAGTAGTGCGATGACATTGGCTGTGCTGGCGTATGGCATACTTGTACCAGCCGTGGGTATTTCCTAGATAGACTACATCAAATAGAAACAGTTCAATCACTCCGGACCAAGCCTCTTTTCGTGACCAATCCCGTGAAACCGATGTACCGACTTCACTAATCTCGTAACCACCTAACATAAACCCTTCAATATGTCATTATCATATGCGTACCTGTCTTGCCCGGCAACATGAAATCAGACGACCTCGACACCTTCGCGTATTCCTTCCCTTAAAATGCCGTGACTGATAGAGTTGTTATTTTCCTGCCTCTTAACCCTTCCGCCGACCATGCCCCTCCGGTTCCTACCTGTTCTGCCTCTGCCCAACCAGTTCAGCTTGAGCAGTCGACCTAGCTCAGCCACCATCTTGCTGGCTTCGTCGGTGCTAGCGACGTTATTGCCCGTATCGACGCTGGCCAGCACACTCATGCATTGGAGCATGCGGCCCACCATCTCCGTCACCTGCTTGCTATCCTCGACGTTCTGCTCCCGCACGCTGCCCAGGATTTCCCTGCCGCCCCGCTCGTTGTCTCTCATCTGCGGCGTGAACGGTCTAAGCAGACTTCCGGTACCGGTAGATGCCGGATCTGATACGCCGCTACCGAACGAGACGTTGCTGATGGCTCGGCTTCGCGACGGGTTCGAGTCGTTGCCGAAGACCGTCGTAGAGGTGGAGTTGTAGCTCGCGATGCTCGGGTCCAGCGACATGGCCGTGCCGGGACGACCCGAGAATCCGTCGCTCGGAGAAGTAGAGAGAGACGCGGCGCTGTCGTTCAAGAGTGGCGGCGACGCCAACGCGAGCGAAGAGAGGGATGACGGCAGGTGCTCGAGAGATAATCGCGAAAATATAGTCTTGAGCTTCTCATACCTAGGTAAGATCAGAGAATCTCGGTAAGATATAAGCACGAGCCGCCGCACGTCAAGGACGTTGGACGCCGGGGATAGGTGGGTTTCGAAATTCGGCCCGTTAGGATGGGCGTTCGCCGTTGGCAAGTCTGCTATCACTCCGCCCCAGAAGTCCCGCGCCTGCTCGGGAGTCAGCAGAGTCCCGCTGCCAGAAAATTCCAGATCCAGCGGCAGGAAGACCGCCTGCATATAGGGCAGAATGCTGGTAAACGTGAAGATCCAGAGCTCTACTAGCGAAGGTATCAGCCTGTCCTCGGGAGTCTTGCGTAACGTGTGGTCGAGCGAAGCAAAACCTGTCGAAAGGAGATCTCGTAGGTCGTCGACGATGATGTGTGCTGAGCGACGTTGTATGCAGTATTGTATATGCATGCTTACGACGCGGTTGAAATCCTCTACCGGCAATCGCAGGTCTTCGCCTTCGAATATGACTAGTAGCTTAGCCCTCAGATACGGCCAGGCGTCATCCAAGGACATATTGTGAAGGCCGTATTTGCCCGAATCGATAGGTTCGGAGAGATAGGAGTGCGTAGCGGCGGCTGCTGATCCGAAGCTGCCAGGTCCTGGCCATTCGGAACCCGTGCCGTAGGAAGATTCGTTGTCGTCCTTCTTCTTATCGCGCAACGCGCGTCCCCCGTGTCGAAGGTCAAGCCCGCTGACGCTTTTACCTATGTTGTTGTTCGGACCGGGGCTCGGTGGTATGTTAAAATTGTAAAGGCTCGACGGCGCGTTAGGGTCGACGGGCCGCGAATTGCTAGCGGCAGAGGATAGGGGGAGGTGGTAGTCGTCTTTGCTGCTCAGCTTATGCTTCTGCCGCGATAAAAAGTGGTGTTTCTTCTCTTTATCTTTTTCCTTACTATCCCTATCCACAAACGAGTCGACCGGTCGAATAGTCGCGGCGGACGAGTTTCCCAAGCTGTAGAAAGACGACGAGTCCGCGAGACTAGTTGTGCTGAAGTTGGCACGTTGTAAAGAGGCCAGAGCAGAACCGATCTTTCCAGGACTCGGCAACGGCCGTTCTTTCACGTCACCTTTAGTATCTATCTTCTTAGGCCTAGAAAACAGCTTGACTTTAGACTTCTCCGCCTTCGCAGGCTTCTCTGGGACGGTCGGGGGCGCAGGTGCGGGATGGTCAGGCGGTGGTAGTCCGGGCGAAGGTTGAGGCGATCTCGGAAAGACGACGTTGGCAGCGGCGGTCGCAGCGGCGGCGTGGCTCCCCAACAGCCCGTTATGATATCCTTGAGCGCCGAAACCGTTATCTCGCGGAGCGCTCGCCTCGGTTAGGCTTAACATAGGCGGGCTGCGATGTCCAGTAACAGGTTTGGGCCCAGGCCTTTTTGCGGAGTCGTGGCTGTCGCTGCCAGGAAATGGTACGGTTTGCGATCGATGGCGGCTATGCTGTTGGTGCTGCATCACGGCGGCCTGAGCGGCTATCTGACTTGCCGAGAGGCTGCCGGCGGGTTGAGACTGAGACTGAGCCTGTGCTTGGGCTTGAGCTTGGGCTTGGACCTGGGCCATAGCGACGTGGGAGAGGTTGGACGTGCTCGTAGAGGGCAAGGTAGGCTCGAAGTGACCCTGAGTCTGGGAATGTTTCCTCGCGTGGCCGGCGCGAGTGGGAGGTAGGGTCAAGGGAGAAGAAGTTCTCGGTTGAGGAAGTTCGATGCTGGGTCTAGTCGGACGAGAGAAATTGTGCGGGCTGCTGGAATAGGAGGGACTAGTGACGGTGGTGACGGGGCTCTGAGGGCCTCTCGTCTTAGGGAGGGATATGGTATCGTCGCTCTCGGAAGTATCTATCCTACGTATTTGAGGCCTGGAAGGGTTTGGCGAAGAGAATAAGGAAGATGAAGACGCGGCTGCGGCTGCGGCGGTCGAGGCCGAAGAAACACTCCCGGGCAAGGGAGAGAAGCTCCCGGGGGCTCTTTGCTGGGATCGTACTGGCTGCATTGTCTGATCGAAACGTCTAAGTGCCCGGTCCTAGGTCTGTTACATCTTGCCCCGATCCCGAGATATATAGGATCGGCGGTAATCCCCGTCCCTGATTTGCGCTATTCAATTGCCGTATACGTTGATGTGTGGTAGTAACGTGCGTAAGTAATGGCGTCTCGTCTTGATCGGACTAGTAGATTTCACCAGCGATCTTGACGAAGTTGATGAGGAGATGGTTGGTATAATACCTACGTACAGTGTGCGATGGGTTGTCAATGCTATGTATCAATTCAAGGTTTAACGTTGAATCCCTGAACATGTACTTGGCTAGGTAGTGTATGTACACTATATACCTACAGGCTCAAGGAGTACCAGAGTGGAACCGTCTCGTGCTAGCTTTGTTGAATAAATCGTATTGTTGGTGCTGAAGATACATGTGATCTACACATATAACATCTATACATGCATATATACACCTGTTTAAAAGCCTTTCTACTTTAGACGAACAATCTAGATGTATAATATCTGAAGCTGATATATGTATTTTCGAGTCTCCAAACTTCACATGTATCATTTGGTAGCTGTGTTCAAGTTGAAAGAAACATGTACATCAGATGAATCGAACGAAGTGGGGCAAAAATTGGGCAAGTTTCTAGGTACAGTGAAACCCTACCATAACGATAGGAAAAAATCAAGACTTTAGGATCGTTAAAGCGAGGTATCGTTGTAAGAAGCTATCCACTTTTAGTAAAACTTACCCACTTTTGGCAAATATTTCCTAAAATAGCCAAGATTTTGACGCATGGGTAAAGATATTATCGTAAGGGGTAATAGAGTGGGTACATTCTATCCTAAAACGGAAAGGTTCCTACAAAATTTCCTTAAATACAACGATTTGTTTAGTGAGGAAAAATAAAACTAACGATAATTCGTTATGACGAAATTATCGTTATTTTACATACAAAATTCGGGAATCCTGGAAAATTTATCGTTATAGTGGGGTATCGTTATACACTAGGATCGTTATGGTACGGTTTCACTGTAGGTACATTCGGTACTCTGGAATAGTACCTTGTGCAATGTAGTCTTGGACGCCACACAAAACTACTGCCACATCTGCCCCGCCCTTCATCCCCGCCATCGTCTATGGATGAAAGTCTAACATAACAAATCCATTTACAATTGTCTGTTAGAATTCATCATTCTATCCAAAACCAGACTCGTCGACAATGTCGTCTTCCTCAAAGATGAACAAAACCACTCAAATAACGGCAACCTACACTAACTCTAATTCCACCAGCGACCCTTCCTCATCCTCTCCAAGTTCAACTACCCCCTTCACACTCTCAACCCCGCTGACTCTGCCGGACTCCGACTCTTCAACGCATAAGACATCGTACCTGAACACGCTGCGCGAAGCCGTATCGACGCTACAAGAGCGCATAAACAGCGAACTCACGACGCGCATGGAGGAAGAAGCGCGCGAGGTAGCAGCCGCCTCCGCTGCTGTTAAGGGAGCTAGTGTCAGCGCCGTCGACGAAGTTGCTGAAGAAGAGAACTATGGCGAGGAGGTGGTGGAAGACGAAGAGTAGTGGATATTAGACGGATCGATCGATCGCTTTCGCGATTCCATTAATGCCTATAAGCCAGGTGAAGAATAAGTCAAGGTTAGACGAGTAGACATTGGGACTAGAGAATTCTCACCTGGACGTATGGGAGTGCTATTCTCGACCAGGTCCTCCCTGGATGAGCATTTCGAAGTCGAAGACGAAGACGAGCGAGAAAAGCGTTATCAATTTGACTGCGTTCTACATACGGGGGTATTGCCTACTCATCACCTCTACTCCGACAGCATGCGACGATGACCATGTTATGCTTAGAACCCCAAACAAAACCAGAACACCAGTCTTCGATATATGCGAACGCGACTCAACGCCTCCCTCGTCACGTCCATGCTCGTACCATAAACATCATGATAATAGACAGTTTCGTGTCTCGATACCCACGCCAATGCGGGCACAGGGATACCATCCAGGTCGATAATTTGCCCGATTTGTTAGCGTGGGCGATTCAGCCGTGCCTCCCCCACGAACCGGCGATCCTCTCGCTTCTAGTTCCGCTCATGCTACGCCCCGGTCTCCCCAAACATCCGTAATGGACGACCGTATTATCCGGAAGCACCGCCACGACGCTATTACCCAGTCTCTTGTGGCATACGCCGCACACCCTCTCCTCGCCAATCACGACCTTCCTGCTACGCCCGCTCTGGCCGCCGGGGATGCCGTCCCCGAGTAGCAGCAGCGCCTGCGTATTCACCAGCTGCGTCTTGCGCAACCCTTCGACGATGCGCGACTCCGAGATGACGCTGTTAGCCGCGCGGATGCGCCCTCGGAAATATGACTCGAGCTCTGTCACCGGAAGATCGTCGGGGATGAGAGATAGCGTCGACTCGGCCGGCAGACGAGAGCCGTGCCTCGAGAGGAGAGACAGGGCCGGTTCCAGGTTCGGTTTGTTCGGCGGCGGCGGAGTAAGATATAAAGAAAGCAGCATGTGGTAAATGGAAGGCTTCGAGTCGGGATCGCGATCGTCCTCGTCGGCCAGCAGCGCGGCGAAGGATTCCCTGCGGGAACTGGGAAGCGCGTGTATATGGTTGCAATACCTAGCATCTCCTGTAAGCAACGTCCGTCGGCGATTGAATGCGTACCTACTCCTCTGCTTTCGCGTAATCCTGCATGTTAAACACGTAGATCTCGAGCGCTTGCTTGTGAGAACCCATGTTGCTGAACACTATGGCACGAGCCTCGTAGAATGCCGGATCTGTGAGGGTTATTAGCAATTGCTTCTTCTATCAGAACCGACAAGTGTTCCGCATATTCGGACGGCCTACCATCACGAGGAATTATGCTTAGTGCTCTGCTTAAGCTGTACTGCTGACTTCCCCTCAAAAAGGTCACGAGGCTATCGAGCTTCTCGTTCCACGACTCGTCGCGCTTGTCGTCTCTCAGCGCTTGAACCAGCAGCTCCACTAATTGATTATGAAAGTCCGGCGTGCCGTCTTCTAGTTCCGTGATGATGTGCTGTAGGTAGCGGATTTCTAGATTGACGTCGATGGCGCCAAGATACCGCACGACCCTTTCTCGCGGCAGAGTCTCGGCGTTCTCGCTATCGGCTAAGAACACCTCCATTCCCTGGTTCGGATCGCGCCGCAGGACCCAATCCGCAAACTCGAGAATGATGTCGATCATCTCCGGCGGAAGACTTTGCAGGTAGCCGACCGTCCTCCGCGGACCACGCAACTGCTCGGGTATCGTCACTTCCGAGTCCGCCTGTCCGTTAAGGTCAAGCTTGGTTGATTCCCCTTCCGGGTTCACGTCTCCGAACTTGCGAAGGAGGGTGAGGGCATCGCGGTGGAGCTTCTTTCCGTAGAAGAAGTCGACTAATTCATTATACCGACTGTGCTTGAGGAGGTGCTCGTTCACCACCGCGGGATCGCAGAAGTTCGGGATGCGGAAGAGAGAGCCGGCAAGCGTGGGCGTGACAAACATTAGGCCGCGGAAGAGAGCGGTGTCGACCATGGTAAACGTCTCCTTAAGCTCGTGCTCTAGCTGTTCGTCAGAATCGGAGCGAGAATTCGTTAGTAATGCGTCTAGATTCTCGTCCAAGCTTATCGACGAGCCTTTGCCGGTTGTCGGTTTGCGAGGTTTCAGCTTTCCGGTTGCCGGATCGATCCATCGCTGTAGACGTGTCCTCGTACCAGCCAGATAACTGTTAAGCTCGCGGACGGCCTTGATCAGATCCTTCCCTTCCAGCGGTCCATCCTCTTCGGCTTTCTTCTTCTTCGTCTTAGCCTTGACACTCGCCATATCTTCGCTGTCGGTGCCGCCCTTCTTAGAAGATGTGATAGATGCCGCGTCGGAGTCCCCTTTTCGATGTCCCATCCAGTATTTTGCAAAGGTGCTAGGCCTAGACGGCGACGCAACTTCGACGTTGGACTCGGTTTTGGCAGGTTTGTCACCATTAACCTTCTCGTCCTCTTCCTGGTCTTCTTCCTCCGAGGCGCTCTCCTCTCGCGTGCACTCGGCGGAAAGATCCCCGGCGATCGTCCTAGGGTACAGCCTTAGTACTCTTTGAGGAGGTGCGTGTACCTCGTCCTCGTTAAATAGTGCCAGGCTTTCTGAGAACTTCTTTTTCTTGAAGAGGACTTCCGCCTTCAGCATCTTAGCCTCCCGCATAGTGCCGGTCTTATCCTTCAACAGCGCGTCTTCGAGCATGCCGAGCACGCTTACGGCCTCGTCGTACTTAGCCGAGTCGATCAGCTCCTTCACCTGGGTGTCGTAGTCCGTCGCTTCCATCTTCCATACGGCTCGATCGCTGCTGATATGGAAACCTTTACCCGCGTGGGCGAGACTGACCGTAGGCGGCGGGAAGTGCATTTGTGCCGCGCCGGGAAGTTCTATGGTCTGTAGAAGGCTCAGCGTTTCTGGATTCCGCACATCTAGCGTACCTTTAGCTGGTGGCTGAAGGATCAGGATGTAGGGGTAGCTATATCCGATGCTCTCGGGGGCGTTCTGCCACGGCACCTGACGCTTTTCCAGCGGGTTGCCGTTCGTGTCGATGAACAGAGAATTGATGTCCTTCGCGAGCAACATCTGACCCTCGGCCAATCTCGTAGCCAGTGGCTTCGGCATATACCCGCCGAGTCCCATATAGCCCATGCTCGCGGCGCCGAACCTGCTCCCCTGCCCTCCCGTTGCCGCCGCACCCAGGCCTACGATCTCGTGCGTTTCCGAGGTGGTCACGTCTACCAAGACGTATCCCGCGTTCATACCGCAGACGACCTTGGTCGCGTTGGCCCAAGTCAACGTCCTGATGCCCTCAGGAAGCACGATCTCGGTGACCTCGTCATGTAGCTCGCTCTCGTGCCAACTCCATAACAGCAAGCGTCGTTTTATAGCTACGGCGAGACGGCTAATAATCTCTGGAATGCCGGTGGCGGCATCTTTGACGATGTTGCTGGTAACAGCAAAGCAGGTAGCGTTCCTTGTGCGCGATATCGTCTCGATCAACTCGTAGGTCTGGAGATCGTGGAGGGAGACGTTGTAGTTGGAGAGGGAGACGATGATGTTGGCTTCTCTGATGATCGCAAGCTGCTCGATGGCGCGCGTGGAGAACTTCTCGATTTCACGTAAAAGATCAGTCGGCTTTGGAGAAGAACTGGGTGTCGTGTTCGTGTCGGTGCTTGGAGGAGTGGAAGGAGTACCGTTAGAAGCAGGAGGCTCGGATGGTTGGGTTAATTCGTTTAGGCGGTATATCCTCAGCGATCCGGTATTTAGACCGACGAGAACGCGATCGCCTACGGTAAATATAATCAGTTTTTTGTATGCCTACATTTACGGACCATATAGTGGCAAGACGCACCATGTGCTAGTATCGTTTCTATCTTAGATTTGTCGCGTTGCTTTAGCTCGATGATGGGCCGAGCTGTGAATGCGGAGAGCATGGTGCTCTAATGCTATCCTTGGATAGTCATTGATTACGGGGTTCGGGTTTTGAATCAAAGAAAACGGCGCAAGGCAGTTTGACTAATCCAGGCTATCCCAAAGAATATATGTCGTCTCTTGCTAATGTGGATATCAGTTGAAGGTATTCCGAGGCTGTATGAATAAAATGCAAAACAAAGGAAAAGCGAATGTACCTACTTATGTCATCTGAACCTTAGAACCCGAGAGTTGGAGACATTCAATGTTCTAAGGTTCGAAGCTAATGTGGATACAGAGGTACAATGTACCTCGGCCACCTATGACCGCATAAGCTAGCGTACTGCATACTTGTCAAAATTCATCCTTCTGATTGGACAGATGCATTATACCCAACCTGCGTTAGGCAGCCTATAAACTGGAGGGTTGAGAGTTGCAGTGTTTAAGCATAATATTGGATGTACCTACGTGTTGACGTACCTAGGAGGTACCAGGTATGGAATATACCTCCATGCATGTTTAATTTTCCTGCTACTATTATGTAGTATGCAACACACTTACCAAGGTAGGTATATGCATACTACCTCATGTAGCTAAAGCTGATACCATTCCTACGGTGAGACAAATCTATAGATCTATATAACCCCTTCACCGCAATCGACTACCTATGTAGCTTACCTACATGTACACCTATGTAAGTAGGTAGGTACGTACATATATGTAAATGTATATGCATAGGTATATATACGAAAGACCAAAGTTATACATATTACGCATAATAACAGTGCAAAACCAGACAAGCAACTTCGTAGTTCGACGTAGATAGGTACTCTATTAGACCCCTAACCCTGACGCCTTACATCCCAATGACCCGCATCGAACCGTAGCCCAGGGTCACTACAACCGCAAGGGTTATCAAACTACTGGGCACGCCGCGGCTGATGAAATGCGTCACATGCAAGTACCGCTGTCCTGTCGAGTCCTCTTTCATGATAGCCGCTGTAAAATGTTAGACATTGTTTCCCAGCCTCGACTGTAAGACGTTATTATAAAGGGAGAAAGACTTACTCATGTTAGGGAATCCGCTCGTCGGCAACGCCATCGCCGCGCTACACATGAGCGCCGCGGCCATGACTAGCAGGTTGGGGTGAGGTTCCTCCATATCCTTTCCGATATCCGACACGAGCGGCAAGATGATCAACGCGGCGACTGTGTGGCTGATGAAAGTCGCGATTACCAAGGTTAGGCTCGAAAATATGATGAGGATACCATACAAGTCTACGCCGTTCACCTCCCGGGAGATGCCCTCGGCTACGGTATGAAGGAGTCCCGACGACTTGACGGCCTTGCCGAGGGCCAATCCGCCAGCCGCAAGGATGATAATAGTCCACGGAAAATTATTGAAATCTTCCTTGGTGAGTATGCCGACGCCGAAAAAGAGCACGATCGGGATGATAGCGATGACTCCCATGTCGCCAAAGGTCGACTCGAGCTGATGGCTCGCGCACCAAAGCCCGATGGTGGCAATGCATATGAAGGATACGAACCATTGCAAACCTGTAAACGGTTCCTTCACCGGCCTGATTGGTACGATAGTAGTACCTTTTCCGGGTTGGAAGGTGACGAGGAGGAGGACCCAGATTAGGAGAATAGATATGATGCCCACGGGAATTACGACAAAAAACCATTCACCCCACGTCGGCGCCGGCTCCATTATGCCTAATGCGACGACATTTTGCGGCGAAGCGATGGGGGAAAGCATACCGCCAATGTTAGAGGCGAGCGCGATACCCATGATCACCGCTTTAGACATGTTGGAACCTGAAGGGAGATTCCGCAGCATAGGCTACCGAATGTCTTGTTAGAGAGATGTCGGACTACGTTAGGAAGTATACGAAGCATAGACCTACCTCGACAATGGAAAAGCAGAGCACCGGAGCTGCCACATTGCTGACTAGCATGCTGGCAAATGCCGCCACAAACATGGTCGCGATGAGCACCGTCCTCGGCTGCGTTCCCGCCTTACTAAGGACGAAGGTCGCGATCCGCTTATCGATCTTGCATTTAGACAGGGCGGCGGCAACGGTAAAACCTCCTAGCAGCAGCATGATGACGGGTGTCCACATAGCCGCGAAGACGTAAGGAGTGGCGTTCTTAGAATCTAGCCGCTTGTATGGCACATCATCTTCGCGGACAACCTGAAGAACCACGCAGAGGAATGGTATCAACAGAGACGTCACGAAAAGCGGGATTGCCTAAGATGAAGTTAGTTGCGCATAGTTGCGCATATAATAAATTCAATAAAAATTTACACCAACACGCTTACCTCGGTAGCCCATAGCAGACTCACGAACACTAGCATTGCTAAGCAGTTTTGCTGCTCGGGCCTGTCCATGATAGGAACATATAGCAAAACCAAGAATATGGCGATAATTCCAAGTAGTGTAAACATGGTCGAGCCGAATAACCAGGTCGGGCAGGTAAAACGCCCGATGGGTGTCTCGATCTCCTTCATAGGAGTGGCCGGAGCATCGTCGCCCTGGAGTCTCACCTTGATACCATCGTTCTGCCCGCCGAGGAGACCCTTGCCGAGACTCGCAGCTTCGGCGCGGCGCTCGAGACCGATGAGTTCTCGCCACACCGTATTCCGTTCCCAGACGACGTGCTCTCTCAGATGAGATCGGAGATCCTTCTTAGCGAGGGGCTCGTCGCCGTGGGTGACCACGTCGGCATATGCCTTCTCCATCTTGGCGATGCTCTCCTCGACCTGCCTGATAGTCTCAGGTAAGAAAGGATAAGTAATCTCGACGGTGTTTTTCATATATATCGGTCGAAATTCCCTGTCGATGATCTTATCGAACTTTTTGAGGACCTTGCTAAAGCCTGTCTTGTTCAGCTGCACATACGACTTAAGTTCGCACAGCTGCACGTAGAGGCTGATGATGCGCTTTTTCAGCATGATGCCGGAAGAATGCATGGCCGTCTCGGCATAGTCATCATAACCAAGGCTGTATCTGCGCGAACGAGTAAGGTCCGTCGAAGCGGTCATGTCGGTAGAAGCAAACATCGCGCTCGGAACACCGCGCCTTCGGCTGTACGTCCCGAGGCTCGATCGTCGGCGCTTCCTTCTGTTGAGGGCCGAAGTCTCATCCTGGTCATCGTCGTCATCCTCGTCGCTATCTTCGACACCGTCGTCGGTTGAACGAGTACTTCGGGCACTCTGAGCGCTGCGTGGACCGCGAGTAGGCTTCACCGGGTCACTGATAATATCTTGCAGGGCGGGCCTCTGGGGTACGTCGGTTTGAACTTGGCCATCGGCGTCGAGCGAACCGATATCGCGCATAAGATCGTCGACCTCGTCAAAGAGCTCCTTTTCCTTGACGCCGTAGAATGACGATATCTTCTCTAGTTCGACGTCCAAAGCCCGCGCAAAGACGACTTCGGGGTCCTCATTTCGAAGGAGCGGTCTTGTTTCGACATCTGAGACACCGGGTTGGTGGATAGTCTTCTCGAGCCCGTAGATTCTATGAGACGGTCAACGAGAAGGACTCTATATGTATACATACATATATACATATATATGATACAGGTATACAGGTATCAGGGTGGGAATAGCTAACAATTTCTTTAGATTGCTATATGCAATGTAATGGCTGCTCCAGTCGGGGACGGCATTGAATTGGATGCTATGGGAGAACTTCATCTCGTCTTGTTCTTCTAACCACCTTCTCTTCTCCTCCCTTTTTAATCTCTGGCGCTGTTCCCTGCTCGACGACGAGGGTTGGTGTTGTCGGTGTTGTCGGTGTTGTTGGTGTTGTTCGTGTTTGATTTGATCGGGATGTTGGAATTCTTGGAGTTCGTAGGTCTCTAATATACGGCCGTCCTTATTATTGTTGTTATTACTGCTACTCCCTCCTCTATCCTCTATCTCCGTTAATCGCTGTCGGGGATGGTGGGGAGCTCTATGCGCGTGAGCAATGTCGCAGTCAGAGGATGAGGAGGGGTGGTGCACCAGAGACTTTGAAGGTGCTATGATGGAAACGGCGATAGCGAGAACGGTAGCAAAAGAGGTGGAAACTTTTTCGTTTTAGGGTCCGGCATGAGATGATGCAACTTAGATTATACGCGATCTATGGATGTGGATGATATGTACCGTATTATGTATGTATGCAGTATCCCTAGGTACCGAAAATAGTATATTTTAGTGAATGTTAAGATGCCAAACTTGTAAGGTTTAAGCCTGCACCTTGAACTGTGTGATCTCCCGTATTAACATCCAACATCCCGACAAATGGGAAGCTTATCGGAGACCCACGTGTGGCTCGAAGCTCTGCTAAGATGAGCCACAGGTACCTGACCAGGTATGTACTTCTGTGAACACTTAGAGGTACATTTCTAAAGTTTACCTAGCAGCAATTCAATCCACTACACATAGATTGGTACTTCCGTGCATACACTTATACTAAACCAACATCTTCTGATGTCCAGGTAGGCTTGTGATATTCCACCAAACACCATCCCCAATTGCGTGTTAGAGCTGAATGATATAGCAAATGACAAGCACCAATGTTGAACATTACAAGAGAAAGTTGAGATACCTAGCGTTCAAGCCTGGAGGTATGTTAAAGATGAACAGTACTGTCGCTAGATCATATATCATGTCCCATCATATCATATCATATCCCATCATATCATATCATATCCTGCAGTGGGAACCAATTCACATCCTCCAGGCAACTATACTTCTGTCACTTTCACCAATGCGATTCATCATACAGCCAATCATATATACCCAAAATCTGCAAACTGCCACAGCAATAATATCCTTCTCACTTCTAACTCCAGCCTTAACATAACTTGCCTTTCTCCGCAGGCCCCCCTCAATCCAGCTACCCAACTACCCGTTTGACTGGCTCACCCGCTTCACCATCTCATTGACAGGCTTACAATTACACCTAGTCAGCATGAACCGGCGTTTTCACGGGGGGCATCGTTGGCATGTCGAAGAACGCCATCGCCGAATGCGGGCTGCGGAGGCCGGCCGTCAGCAAGCAGCGGCTGCGCGTCCCCTCAGGGTCATCGCTAGCCCGCCTCAACCCGTCTCAGACGTAGCTGTCGCTGGCCTGGGACTTCTAGACACTTTGCCCAACGAGGTCATCATGATTGTTTTTGAAAATTGCACTCTTCGTTCTCTCCTACGACTCGAACGTGTGAATAAGGCTGCTAGGAAACTCGTGAGCCTCCTAGATCGCATCGAGTACATAAGAGAAACTACCAAGGGCATAATCGAACGCGCCAAGCCACCCTACCGTCAGATCATGTTCACCATCTTGAAGATTAAGACCTATCAAGGGTTACACGACCTCTTGACCACCTTTATCTGCGAGAAATGCGCCAAGCCGGGCTCGTTCCGCATAAAAAAAGTCAAGGTTCTCTGCGATAGCTGCTGCTCTCCAGTTAGGCCAGTAGACCGCTGAGCCGGATGAGACTTGACCACTTTCCTTCTATGCGTTCTTTTATGTTCGGGATAATTTAGGCGGTGATGATATGCTAAACTACGCGTGAGTGAAATTCTTCTCATCCGGTGCGCTATCATCCATTAACCACTCTCGATTTCGGTAGGGTCGGATGGTATCAAGGTGGCGTAAGGACTCGTGGGTACCTATGATATATGAGTTACGATGCTTGAGCAACTATACCTTTTGACGAACTTTCTGAGATTAAATCAATGACATGATTATAAGCACCTAGGTTGGCATCTAGGTATGTAATGGAAGAAAAGCGTGTAAACAAAATAGTCCTGAGTTAAGGCTTCCATCTACTGATTACCCGTTATAGTGCCGATGTGTCATTTTCTAATTAATAAGGGTCACTTGAAAGACAGTTAAATATATCAACCCCTTGGGTACAAATCCGACACACCTCGCAAGATACCGAATTACATAATTCATTATAGCCTACCTAATATCTGTATGAAGGGGAAAACAGTAGTATAGCCCCTATTCGATGTCGTAACCTTTGATAACTCTATTATAGGACACTTTGCCTCCAGTGCTAACGTTGTTAATCCTTCTAGATTTATAGATCAGCTCCGTCATGCCATCAAAATCTTTAAGGTTGATTTGGGACTTGATTTGACGCTCTCGTTCGTTTACTGGAAGTTGAACCTATACGATGCGTATCCGACCCTACCAGCTAATGCTACTTTCCAATGCTACTTTCTCACGATATTCTCAACCTCTCATCTGCCTGCGGTACCTTGATGTCATCTATGGTCTCTAGGCAGCCGTCGACTTTCAGAGACATGTCGCTTCCCCAGCTGACGAAAGTATAGTCGCCGCAATTCCTGATACCCCTAGGCTTCATGAATAGTCGGCCGTGGTGACGTCGGGCTCTTGAACCAACCTAAGTGATTCTGCTCTTTGAAAGCCGTATCTAGGTAGTGCGCGGCGATTTGGGGACAGCTCAACAGCACCCAGAATAAGTTATCGGAGTCGACTGTTCCTTGCAAGGTATAGTCTAGCGTGATAGTAATATGGGAATGAGTAATGCTGAGATTATCACAGCACAAGACGATAAACGAGCCAACTCAAAGCTGCCGTCTTCAGCCAGGCCGTCCTCCCCGCAAGGAACCCCGTTGCCTTGCCTGCTGCGTTTTCAGGTGGACAGCTCACCACTGGGTTCAAGCCCTTGCATTCGATGGCAGTAATAGCCGCTGAGATGCTCGACACAGCCGAAGCAGCCATCGTAGGTGGGCAAGAAGTCGTGGCTGTGGGAGCCGTTTGAAATGGAGGCGCGATAACGGCGCACGTTGCTCGACCGTCTAGCTTGTCTGGATTTGTGGGCAGAGTACCCGTTACGTTGAATGTGAAGTATCTGTCCACGATATTGGCGCATGTCTGGTCGTCCGCCGTAGTAACACTATTGAGGTCAGGTTGCTTCGCGCCGTTCTTGGTGGTGAATTGGGAGTAGCTGACTCGGTTATAGTAGGTAAGGCCGGACGACGTACTCTCATCGATGGACGTAGAGTTTGAGCAGTTCCCCGAGCTCAGATCCCAGACAATGGACCATTCACCTTCGGTAGTGTTGAATACGTTGGTGGTTGTGTACGCATAGTAGGGGTCGCTAGCATTGGTGAAATTCACATTTGTCAGTTGTATGAACCCGCCGTCGCTGGTGCCATTCAAATGAGAGAGCTGCCAGATGTTGTAGTCGAAGTTCAGGTCGAGGGGCCCGGCAAGCTCCGAGTTATAGATGGCAAAAACGATCGGCGTGAGTTCTGAAGGCGCGTATGTATCGTTGCGCGGAAATACTAAATGCACCTCTACTGTCGCCGGGAATGCGACTGCCTGCACCGTAGACCAACATGACAATATCGGGAGTGAGAGGCGACCTAGCTGGCGGAAAGAGTCAAACATCGTTAAGCAACCAAAATCGAGAGGATTAGATAGAAGTACGCATAGCGGAAGCAGAAAAAAAAAGATCGTAGGAAGGGAAGGATGTCCATGTTTAAAGAGCGTCGGGATTCCAGGATTCAGCTGTCAGGGGCAAGGCGAGTTTAGCCCCATCTATACGAGGATATATCGTGATGTCCAATTGAAGCACGTCACATGGGGCACGTTTTTCGGTATCGTATACGGCGCAGCGAAACGTAGCATTCCCGTCCATAGGCGCTATAGTCAGTGTTAAAAGATCCGATATTGGTTATTAAGCGAGAAATTGATTACGCCATGTTATATGTAGTGCTTAAGGAGTTGTTGAATCTGATCATACTATCGTCGAGCAAGCTAATGACAACCACGTACCTACACAGGGCATTAGTTTGTAACTGTAGATAGATGATTACAAGGCAAACTCGAGGAATACAATTATTTCTAGAGAGCGCGTCCGCCCCAAGCATGTTCACTACAATAATGACATAATGGCCTCCTTCACCACTTAGCCAAGTCTCGTGACTAAGTAAATATGACATAATTGTGTACTTCTTTCAACAGATGCTAGAAGTTTGAAGCTAAGTTGAACGTCGTCGCCGTTGTCACTCCTTTGGACACTGAGAGGTCGTACACCAGCACGCGAGGCCTAAACAGGTAGTAACTTGGCGTTTCCCCCGGCCATCGTTGCTACGTCTATGCTGACACTAAGGCAAGATGTCTACATGCTATTTTAGCTATAATGATATTGTCTGCGCTGTTCTTTGTTAATTTCCAACATCTTTCGTTAAATGATGTAATTGGGAGGCTTGCGATGATATCACAGGAGACATTGTGTTTCCTTGTTATACCGAAGAGCCTCTCCCTAATTAAACAAGAACAAAGAACACCTGAAAGGAATATCTCAAAGGATGAGCATGTATTCTTTACTAGATACACTATGTTCAATCTAAGAATTTACCTCACCAGCCTAATAGACAAACCCCATATTATCGCTATTGTTAGAATAGACAAAGTCGCTATGGCAGGTGTAATTGTCCGCCACACAGGGTAAAGAAATTACGGACATGATTCACATTGGTAACAAAGTTAGAGGTAGGCTTTGGAGACAATGATGAGTGGTTCTTTCGAATAGCCCCCTTGGGCTTTCGAGTATAAATGGGATGAGATGCCAGGTTATTAACCAACACCAGAAGAACCAAGCAACAAGCAACATAATAACTAATACAAAAAAACTCTCAAGCAGAAAACGCTTCAACAAACAAATAAAAAAACACATTCAACACTCACTCAGCATAAACAATGGCTAACATGAAGAACACTACCGGTGCGAAGCCTGCCGTTCCTAAGAAGGGAGGACTCTTCGACTTCAGCGACACCGACAACGGCCTTCACGCAGGTAACAACTCCGGATCGGGCTGCCTAGTCATGTAATAGATAGGAGCTATCTATTAACTTAAGTACGAAATCACGGATTATGTTTACCAAAACGAATTCGGCGGAGGGGATGATCTATAAGGGAGTGGGCGCGGGTAGCACTCCTTTACCGCGTCCAACAAGCAGTTAAAAACGTCACTCCTTAATTTTCTTTAGTCTTTAATAATGATTATTGTACCATAAATCATCTAGAAATCCGGTGTGGCTCCTTAATTTCTCCCGGTGTCTAAATTGTGAATTCAATGCAATCATATTGATCGAATAAGTTATATGTATCACACCTTCGAGTCAGATGCTGATTATAGGGGCAGGAAAAGACATACTGGGATAACATATTACTATAATGAAAATCTGCCTATCTGTTAGGAGAGCCTGGCTTCTTGGTGTAATGTTATACAGAATGTAGGTGTCTATGGGAGTTGATCTTTCGCCCCTTAATTGACAGTTATCCGCACCCTTCGTAACACCGAGAGGTATATCTACAATGGTAGCCACTTATAGATGTTATGGACAAAGAGCGTAATAGCATATCAACTCATGCCAGTAGGTAGTCGATATAATAATCAAGGACTCATTTAGCTCCATTAGACGTGTTGATGCAAAGCGAGGCCATTTAACAGAATGAAACTTCCCCTGGACACCCTATCAGCCTGACTTCTTAATTTAGGATAGGCAAAGTCATGACTGTATTTCACCGAAAGAACAGCCACTGACAGCCACCAACACTGACGACGTCTGAACTCGGTGTAGGGCTGCGAAATGCCGGATGTAGTAATACGGCACGGGTCTATCGTTACATCGTCACGCACCACTCTCTGCCTGGTTGCCTACCTGCTCCGTACGGTAGGTACCAAAGATCTGACTCCGGGAAATTGTAGCCTAAATCGTAACGAGGATGACTTTCGTATCCTGAAGCGAGTCGTGATAAGGGCTATGTTCTCGTTTTGAGGCAATTCCCAGTTACAAAGGTTTAAAAAAGAAGAAACGGACACGGATACTATCTTCGTCAGCTTTTCAGCTCTTGTCAGCGGCTACTCGTCATTGTATACACCGACGGGCTGCTAAGCGTTGTACCGCATGGTTTGTGCAGATTTATGAGGTTTGATGATCGCATTATGCAGATGTGATTGTCATGATTGACAGGGACCAAATCGGCAAGACTTCTTTTTTTTTTTTTGTCTCGAGGAAAGTCGGTCAGGGAAGGTGAGAATATCAATTATAGGATATCAATGCAAGAAATCAAGGCCTCTGCATCTGGACTCTTCAATGTTGCAACGCTTAAAGGTACATTATGTAGTAAAGAGAAGAGAAGGCACAATGCCTCTATATACATGTTCAATACCTACGAAATATAGCGGATGATTCGTACGTACGCGAGTACCGAATATGTATCGAGCCTCGGTGCAATGTTGATTGGAACCTATCAAGCGATCTGGGATGCGCTGGCAAGACCAAGCAGGGATATGCTGCAAACTATTTATCTAATCCCTGCATGTATCAAGTCCCGCGACTGGTTTGCCGATAATAAAAAAAATGCGGAGGTGACGATCATTTGATTTATTCCAGTTGTCTTTTCTTTTTTTTCTTTACTTTGTTGGAGAATAGAAAGTAGGTAACTAGACAAAAATACGACAAGTAATAAAAATAAATGAATTAGAACACGTACTTGAGATGGTAAGATCCAGTATTCGTTTTTAGATGATGTACATAGATATATAAGTACTTTGCGCCTACCTAGTAATCAGGAGGTACTTGCATATGAAGTTCCTATTGTTCCTCCCGATCGCTTTGTAAACTCCGTGTACGTGTTACGGGACCGGGGCATGCTCCTACCTGTGCCCGACTTTTAGGAGGGTTATTGTCACAGGTTGAGGAAAAAAAAAAAAAAATTTCCTTTTCCGGATTAGGACTAGTAAAAATTACTGAGGTAGGAAAGAAAAGAAGTGGGTCCATGGCTAGGTCTGTGGCTAAGTGTGGCTGGGCGTGGAGGGGTAGGGTGGCGGAAGGGTGGGACCTGTAATAGGCAAGTCAAAAGGGGGAACTATAATGAGTCAGCAGGGCGTAAGCCAATCAACGAAGAGCTAGTGGGTCCAGCCCGATTCGGGCGCGGATTACGTAGGTGTTGATTAGTCAGTTCAAGTGAGGGTTCAACTTTAGTCCTAATTGACTGATTATATAACACAACAGCCCTGACTTTTAGGTCAGGTCAGGTCAGGTCCCTGACTTTTAGGTCAGGTCAGGTCAGGTCCCTGACTTTTAGGTCAGGTCAGGTCAG